TAGTGATGAAGCTGAGGACAGTGTACGAAAAGAGAGCAGCTACTTCCAGGCTAGTTATAGTAGGGAGAGTAATGGAGGTTTTGGAGATTTCTTGCAGGAGGGTCTAGCTGCAGAAGCGTCTTGGGAGGCAAAAAATGAGAAAAGTGAGAATCATGGGACATCAACAGATTTTGATCCTCTAGCTGAGTCTATCTTCACACTCCAGACTGCTCAGGAAGCACTTGAAAAAGGTGAGGTTTCCATCACATTATTGATTTTATGTAATAGTTATGTAGTTATTACCAGCATTGGTGATATATAGGGCATTCTTTCTATTTTTGTTTGTTCAATCAAGTGGTATGTTTATCTAATTGCTGTGTGCCAACTGGTATGGTATTAGATTTATTCATAACGAGGAATTCTTTTGGTAGTTGTTTGTGTTTACAACTTGGAGTCTGGATCGGTTGGATATTGATAGAAGTGAACTTGACAAATGGGTTTATTCTCAAGTATTAAGACTGGAAAGAGTTTCAAATAGAAAGTCTATTGTGAACATAAAGTACATAAAGTCTACCTAATCCTTACATCTTGTGGAGCTGCCTGTTTTTGCGTAGTGCCAGTTATTTATGCATCTGTTTCTTAGCCTTATGTTTAGAGCATTTTAGGCTTGCAGTTCTAAACATAAATATTGTTCTGGTGCTTTGATGGCTTGCTGAATCTATTTGCTAGATTTCTACAGATTAGTTTACATAATTCCATATCTATATTTATTGAAGCTTGCTGTGATGTCACAAATGTTTGCTTTGGTTTGTAAATTTAGATGTTTCTACTGACTGTATGAGAAAGTGAACCATGAATTCGTGATATAAAATTTGACACAAATGGGGCAACAATTTAAATTCTCTCTGTCCTTGCAAATTGCAAAATGATTATGGTTTCTGATCAAAGTGATGGTTTTCTGCATGTTATCAGTTCTGTTTAGTTATAAGAACTTGATCTCTTTGCAGAGGTTGAAAAATTTAAAGCATTGGGAATGGATGATGTTCTCAATGATGATCCACTTGGGAATGGCAGTAGACCTTTGGAGTTCACTTCAGATGACCATGGACCAAGCACATCTGATCAGTGGCAATCTGGTGATAGTGTGCACTGTTCTTTTGACTCCCAGAGATCTGAAGTGATTAGCTTGAAACAGATTGTGAAACTTTCTGAAAGCAAGCTTGTAGAGGCAAGAACCATGCTTAAGTTGAAAGAAGCTAAAATCTCTGAGCTCGAAGCCATTATAAGCAACAATAGCTCAAGGAATGAGGGGACGGGGATAAAATTTCAGAGCACTGGAGACATAGAAACTGAGGTTGAGAGCCTTTTTAAGCAGAAACTTGAAGCTGACGTTGAGTTGTTGGTAATATCAAAGGCAGTCAGAAATCAAAAAACTGCTGCACAAATTAGCCTATTAGAAGAACAGAAGGCTCTAGCTAAAACCCAAGCAGAAATGGCAAACAAAAATGGATGTGCTCCAAAAAAGGCCGCTCTGCCCAACTGTGAAGACGAGAGGTCGCAGAATTACAGTGAAAATATCGTCGTCACAGCCGATGAAACTGTAAAGATACGGAAGGAGGTTTTTAAGTACACACGGTGTTTCTTTTTGCAGCTGGTATTACTGGTTCTTGTTGTTGGACTGTTTGTGTTGCAGCTATCTCCTCATCAAGCTGAGGTCATACCCACATAGTTATTTGCAGCATTAAAGCCTCGGTTCGGTAATTCTTCCCTACCTTCTGTACACTGTTCATCTCAGCATTAAGCAATCTTGAACATCAGTTTCTTTGAGATGTTTATAGACGACAATAGATAGATCGATAGAGCGATCAACCATATTTTGTGTCTTCTCATTTTGATATTATTATCTCATCCTGTATTTGTATAATATACAATACTACTGTTCACTTTCTTCATTGTTGAATTAAATTTTTAAGATGGAATATCATTCATTGCATGATGCCACATCACAACTTGTTTATTTATTGCAAGTTATAATGTGATGTCATTCCCAATCTGTGCCATTATTAAATTCTTCTTTATATTTAAATAATTTCATGTGAAAACTATTATGTAATCATGTTTTAGTAGGAGAAATAGTATATTATTCTAAAAAATAAAAATAAAAATAAAATCATAATATACAAAAATATGTACATTTTCCTAATTTAAATTATACTTGTTATCTTCTTTTATCGCACTTTGCACATTTCTAGAGTAAACATTCAAACAGAAAACACTGTTTAACTTTATTTGTCTTACATAATATATGTTGGGCGTCGACTGTGTTGGTCGAGTTTAGTGTCTACTGGATTCGAAAGACGTTGTGGCTTACTAGATGTGATTAAATGATTAATGTATACCTATTTATCACCAATTAGTTTTAAGTAACATATGACTACTAGATAGCTAAGAAAGTTAAAGATCAAACCAAGTATTAAAGATCGAGTCTGCTTACTATTGAGAGATGTGGTTAAATGATTAATGTCTACCTACTTATCAGCTATTGATTAACTAATAATTAATATAGAGACAATGAATATGGAAGTTTTTGCATTAAATTACAATATAATGAACACGAAATTATAAATAAAATACAAGAGCTGAACAACAGCTAGCAATGGATATTCCAAAAGATCAACCAAAGAACTTTGGGTCATAGCCATTGCTAGAGGTAGCAAGGACGTAGTAAGCGACTATGTGGCCGATGGATCCCCAGGCAAGAACATCAACAATGTTGAAACCCACAGGGTCATTCGATTTCAGAAGACTCACATATTCCTTAGCTCTGCTATCCCCCGCCTCAAAGTGCGACACCCCATTCTGCTCCGGCAATCCCTGCTTCGCCACGTTTTCCCTCTGGAAATTGAAGAAAACGAACCTCCCCAAGAACAACGACAGCCCCGTGCTGAGGCTAATCACCAGCTGCGGGTTCAGCTCCGCTTTGATGCCGCAATTCAGCTTCTTCTTCATGACTGGTCTGCAGGAGACGATGGCGGCGGGCTTGAAGGAGGAGATGTCTGTGGGCTTGTTGAGGGGCCTGAGGCCTTGGAAGGTCGGCGCGGATAGCAGAGTGGAAGCCATGGAAGGAATTAGTTGATGGATGGGAGAAGGAAGGTGAGATCGGATTTGGTTTGGTTATACACTGGGAAAAGGTGTGGAAAGAAATGGAGGAGATTTTTGAGGAGGGAATTGAGAGAGAAAAGATTTTGGATAATGAGGTGGCTTTGCTTTATTGGATGCTTGTGGATTACAGATTCTCCATCAATTGCTCCTTCATTGTATTAGATAAGAGTATATAATATCTCTTTCTCAAATTTTCTCCATTTTTCTCCATCAGTATAATACTATTTTTTTTTTTTATATAAAAAGAAATTGATTTGTGATTTTGAAACTACTAGTATTTAGTTCATGGTTTTCTAAAATCTTTCTAATGTATAATAACCCTTAAAAAAAATCTAATTAAACCTTTAAATTTGTTAAAACTGTGCAATTAACATATTTGACCTTAATAGCATGTTATCCTCAAATCACCCGCTACGCAAAATGCAACGTAAGATGCACTAGTGTTGGAGGTTCCGAATCAATTTTAAGGACTAGAAAGATAAGTTGGTCGGACACTTAGCTTGATAACCACAAGACTCTATTGGTCATTGATCTTCTTGGTTTGTATTGATGGTTCTTTGCTAACTAGAGTCTTCGGGTAGCACCTGCGTGTTTTCATGTAAATCAAAGTAGTAGGACCTGAACGAGATAAAACATGCAAATGTTTTTCAAATTAACAAATATTATGCAGCATGCTAATGTACATAAAATATAAAATATAAAATATAAATTAAAAATAATGGATACAAATAATATTATCTCATAATCTAAAAAAATACAAAATTTTAAAAAGTGGATATAGATTGTATTATACTATTATCTTATTATTTTTAGATTAATTATCTTATTTTATTAAAAAAAAAAAAAACTAATATGAAAAACAACGCACCTTAAGAAGGAAAACAACGCACCTAAAACTTTAGACCGACGCGCTTAAGTTTCAACAACTAACTCACCTTAAGCACAAAACACAAAAACCATGCACCTTAAGAAGGAAAACCACGCACCTTAAATTTGACATAGATGCAGAAAGACCAAATTGCCACCGCATATCTTTTTAATTCTTATTAATCCTGGACTTTGATCTTGGCAAGATCAATGAATGGCTTTCATCTCACCTAACGTTCGCACCTGAGCACACCATCCGCATTTGAACCGTATTCTTGTTAAAGATTGCATATTTAAGTGTTAAAGTTTGCACAGTGGAGTTGATAATTACGAAATTACCATCGCATTTTTAAAAAAAATCTGATCAGATCCGTTGAATTTTTATACATGTAAAGCTAAGGTTAGTTCTTATTTCTCTCCTATGGAAGTATTCTCACAAGATCCATAACCTATATATATATATATATATATATATATATATATATATATATATATATATATATATATATATATATATATAACACAATTAAATGGGTTTAATAGAAATAAGTTAAAAATCAATTTTAATTAATTGGACTTAATAGCAAATAGATACAAATTAATTGGACCCTGAGGGTGTATATTGGTAATAGCTCTCGCAAATTATAGAAGGGAGGTTAACCGAGATCCCTTGTGACGAGCTCGACTCACTTAGTCACCCTTTCAGGACTTCATAATTCTACTTTATTAGTAATTAGGTAATATACTAGGTGGTAAGTCAATAATTGAATTGCTTGAATCATGGCAAAAAAAAAATAAAAAAAATAAAAAAAAAAACAAAACAAAACAAAACACACAGAGAGTAAAATTGAAATAATATATTAGCTCTATTACAATGTAATATATGTTCAGAGTCACTACCGCTCCGACTAGGGATCAAACCCATAACCTCCCATGTGGGAGAGCTATTTCGTGCCACTAGACCATAAAGCAAATGGTAAAGGACCAAAGAATTAAAGATCAATCAACAAACAAAATCTTACTGAATATTTGCACTGTCTTAAACAATAATGTCACCAAAAGAATTTTGACTTCCAAGATTTTAAATACACACATTTTGTGTAATAATACAAATATGCATTAAGCTCTACTGTCGAAAAATACAAGCCTCACATACAGTTTTAAACATTTCAGTATAATACCCAGCTTCAGATAAACCGGGCTAACAAAACTAGGAACGTTGCAGCAAACACTAGCATGGAAGACGGTTTACAGTTGATATAAGCGCCACTGTGATCATTAGATATCTGCGATGGCGATTGTGCAGGGCACGCGAGGCCTAGCTTATCTCCTTTACACTCGTTGGCGAAGAGCCCGGGCGGGTACTTGCCATACAGGTTGATGTAACTAAACATCGTAGAAGCACAATCGTTTGTCAGGTCATTCAAGTACTCCGCGTAAGGACAAGCAAATTCTGTGAAAGCCCCGCAACATAGCTTCGGGGGGTATTGTGGTCCTTTGCATTGGCTCGTGATCACGGTGTAATTCTGGAACTCAAAGTTAACCGGGCATGCTGCATATTAAACAGTGAGTTAGTGTAAGCTCTCAATCAAGACGAAAGAATTCTTTGAAGTAGAATAAGAATCGAGAACTTTTCTCAAACATTTTTCTACTTATTACATCCCCATAGTTCTTCTGCTTGATCCTAGAAGGCCTTATCATTTGTTTATCAAGCTAAAATAAAATAGGCAGGAAAGAATTTTCCTAATCTCCAATAAGTGGCATAGTGCTGGCCATATTGGTTTTTCTATACGAGAGGGGGTTTTGAACTCCCGACCTCTCTTAAGGGATGTGAGTGCACAACCACTCACGTCAACCAAGTTGGTTACCTGGATACTTCCTTTGAATCTTTTTTTTTTTTAAGTATTCTTGAATGCCGTAGTTCATTTTTTTGGATTTCCATTATACTTATTAGATGTTTTGTTGTGTTGCACTATGACCTTGAAATCCCAAAAGAGTTGATAAATTTCTTTAAGCACAATTTGTCCAAGTACACTTCTTCTTCAAGATTTCCTTTCAGATATATTCCCATTCTTCATGATTTCAAGCGCACAGCCTAGCCAACTATGCTCTAAAGAAACATCATCTAAGCAATCCAATTTATCCATTCAGAATCTCGGAATGTGGACAGTATTACATATGACAGTAACGGAAACACTATTGGTTTTTGGATAAAACCTTTATCCAGAAAGGAAAATAGTGGCACAAAATTTCCAAACCTTAAACTTAGTTGCTTCGTACTTGACCAAGACAACATTACCACAATATCCTAATCCTTTAGAGCCTCGATCCCAATATAGTTGTGTCAGTTAAACAGGTTTTAGTTCTTTAAAGAAAAAACAGAAAATGGCAATGATAGGTACTCGAGCACAAGCGAAGAGCTCATCCCAATTTGGGAGAACCCCTCGATTCTCTTGTGGTGCCAATGTGCGAACTTATCACATTAGGGACTAATTTTGTCACAATCTTATTTGAGGAACTAAATTAACTATTTTCCCTCAATTAGAGAACCAAAACTGCCATTTTCCCAAGAAAAAAAAAAAAAAAAAAAAAAAAAACCACAAAGAGAAAATCATAATCATAAATCATGGCATGGGATTAAGGAGTTTGATGCACAAGGCCTGTCTGAGACCAGTCAGATGACTAAACAGCTAGAAAAGAGCCACAAATTGGAGATAAATATCATATCAATTATGAATTATCAAACAGATTTAAACATTCAAGAAACTACCAACCACTTTAAAGCCTTTCAATTCTCTCCTCTGGGAAAGAACACATTAGATTTGAACTTGATAATGGCCTGAGGATCATAAATCGTAAAGATCGGGAAAGAAATGAAGTACCTTTCTTAGCCTGAAGGAGGCTCCTCCCAGTGGAAGATTGAGAAACAAAAACACCATCTGCATCATAAACACATCAAATTACCAAACAAATAATGAAAAAGGAAACTGTATCAGATCAAAGAAGGTAACTTTACCCAAAACCCACACACAATTTGCAAAAATAAAAAATAAAAAATGCAGACCTGAGATAGAACTGGATGAAGAAAAGCCTGCAAATAGCGAAAGAGATAAAAGCAGAAAAAATGAAAGACAGAAACTGTGTCCCAACTCCATTGTTGCGAGAAAGATCTTCTATCTGAGCTAGTCAATATGAATATGGGGCGTGAAAACGCGTATGAATAGTGGGATTTACAGAAATGGGCAAATACAGAGTAAAATCAATCAGTTTCGAGAATAGGGAGAAACGGAAGAATTAAAAAGAAAATTGGAAGAATTTTAAAAAAATAATAAAAATATGCATAGTACAGCTGGGTTGCGTAGAGAGAGACTGAGACAGATTACAGATAGTAGTTGATGGAGTACAGGCTAGGTCGTCAACACGAAAACATGTTTCCTCTCATTGACTCATTCAATTTCTCCCCACTTTTATTACATATATTCCTTTTTTTTTTTTTTTTAACTACATATATTCCTCATTTCTTTGATTAATGAAATTTTTTAACCACAATGCATTTTTATAAAGTCGGTCTTGTGATCTTAATTGACAAAAAATTTAAACGATATAAAAAATTTATTAATTCATCTCGAAATGAGTGGTCAAGTAAGTAAAACATGACTCTTATTCTTGAATACAAAGGTTACAAATTTAATTCTTACAAACACCTTTTTAGGTTGAGTTCATCACACACATTTACCTATACCTTGAGTTGTGGTTATGTGTTTCCTTCGTCACAATAAAAAAGGGTTCATTAACTTTTCATTTTCTTTTATTGTTATAAAGAATTTAATAATCAATTTCAAATTGGATCACCATGGTTTATTGTATATACTTGACCAAATAATAAAGTTATATTACACGGACTTTTAAATTTTACTTTTTGATACCAAAACTATGTGGTCTAATGGTACTCAGGTTGGATTTCCATTTGAAAGGTTACGAGTTTAAGCCTTAGTGAAGGCGAACATATACTACAATGTAATAAGCCAGTAACATTCAAAAAAAAATTTTACTCTTTGATGTAGCGGGTACTAATACAAGTGTCTACATCAAAATTTTATGTGTGAGTAAAAATTGAGAATAGAAAATTAGAGTTTAGTATTTCCGGTTGCAATTTATTCACTTATTTTATTTACACTTGCAATTCCAATTCACTCTAATAATAATCTGGTCCACTCTATTACATTTGGTAGAGTTAAGCTTGAATTCTGTAACTTGTAAACTTGCAATTCACTTTGACTAATTATTTAAAAAAAAAAAAAAATTAAGGTATCATGTCTTCTTGCAAGATCACAAATTGCAGGTATAAACATAGCCTACACGATGTAAAATAAAACGAAAAATGTAAGTCCTTTTCAATTTGCTAGAGTTTGTTTAGCGATTGGATAGACCTTTTTTTTTTTTATTATTATTATCAAAAGGTCAAATGAACACCAAATTTCCTATCAACCTCATAGTGATGGAAACTCTACATTGATGGAGGAGATGCACTTTCAGTTACGGAATAAATGGTTTGTTGGGTGCTAGGTATTTTACAATTGAATTGGGTTTCAAAGTTAGGTTAGTCATTTATGACAAGTTCTCTTATAAGACAAGTTCTCTTATAAGACGAGTATCAGGTTAAAATTTTTTAAATATTTTATTTTGACTGATTTTTATTAGATCTAACCCGTCTCACAAGAAACATGCCCATGACAAAATTATGTCTTAATTTTATTTAAAAATAAATAAATAAACTGTTAACCCCTCATTATAGATCAATTTAACTATAATAGGGCGTTTGGTTGAAAATATGGAATTAGAAGAGAAAGAATTGTAGTTCCTTCAGAAAATAATAATGTGAGAATTTGAATTACATTGTTTGGTAAAAAAGAAATAGAATTATTGAAAATTGAGAGGGAAGAAGTGAATAAATACTAAAATACCCTTGTATAATATTAATATAATAATAATAATAATAATAATAATAATAACGGTAAAATGATAATTTATCATTGAATTACAATTCCACAAAGTGTAAAATTACAATTCTTAGGGGCCTTAGGAATTGCAATTCCCTCTAATTCCATGGAGTTTGGTAGGATCGAATTGCAATTCCAATCCTACCAAATTTCATGGAAGAAATTGCTTGGTTGGAAGGAATTGCAATTTCACACTTTGTGGAATTGTAAATTTGTAATTTCATGATAAATTATTATTTTATTCTTCATATGATTATTATATAAGAATATTTAGTCTTTATTCACTTCTTTCCTTTTAATTCTCAATTATTCTATTCCTTCATACCAAATTAATTTAAATTCATACTGTATTCTTTATTCAATTCTATCCTTTTAATTCACAATTATTCTATTCCTTTATATCAAATTAATTTAAATTTATACTCTATTCTTTTCCCACAGAGTACAATTTATATCAAAATGAGATAAGAGTAAAAATTGAAATAAAAAATAAAATTAAATACCCCGTATAATACAACTGCTACGCATTATCGCCTTCAGCTGATAGTGCTAACCGGCCATTTTGACGTATGTTAATTATTTAGTTTAATGCAATATTATTTATATTGATGGGGTTGGTACTTTTCACTTTCATTACAGATTATATAAACATAAATTCATTGACATTTTCTTGTAAAATCCTGTAATTGAGGTTTTCCTTTTTCAACTCTATCAAAACTGTGCGAGGCTGATGAACAGAACATCCCGCAAACATACAAGTCCAAAGCTGCGGTTTCTATTTTAAATAAAATTTGGAAAATAAAATTTGGAAAATAAAATTTTAAATTTGTACAGCTCTTCTTCAGGCACCCTCATCATGGCAGCAGGGTGGGAGGGTTAGAGGCAAATCTCAACAATCTCAACTTCAACAAAACTTCCGTCGCTGCAATACCAAATACCATTGTGTTATACCGCAACTCAAACGTCATTTTAACTAAATGACAACGCGTATCAAATCAAAATAATCTTAATTTTGCAGAGTTTACTTACACAAAATCTCGACTCTCGTATATTGTCCAGTAACTCTGTAATTTCATTCTGCTTGATCACCGTGGAGCGTAGTTCCTGTTGAATACGTGATTATACTAAATGTTTCGGTAAGTCTGGAAGTAGAATGAGAAAGCTTACCATCTTTGTTTTTCCGAGGTCGCTTTCTACTGACTTGATCCTGTCTAAAGATTGGTGAATCAATTTATCCTTCTCCAATGGGATGTTAGCAGGCTTCTTGTTTAGCTCGTCTAGTATTTGTTCAAGCTTCTGAAGGCGCTGGAAACATGGGTGCATCGGGTCTTCTTCGTTACAAGCTCCACCGCTGGTAGAAGAGTGGCTGTCTTGCCTCACTTCTAATGCATTATAAGGGCGAATATTTGCTTGTCTCCTCCAATACTCGAGAGGAAGAATACGGATAAAGGTTAAGAATGCGAGTACGAGAGATATCAATGACCTTGCCATATAGCTGAAACATCTAGTCACGAGATTTCCTTGGATGACATCAAACAAATGCATCATCCCACCACCTAATGAACACTATCAATATTAAATGTTATTATCAATTGAGGTTGATTGTTTTAAGTATCATCTGCACCTTTAGTTACAATTGTGCACATGAGATCAAATGATTTCCACTTTTTGTAAAATTATTTAGCACAGAATGAAAGAAAGCGGCATTTGAGGCATCTGGAAGAGTGTTTCAAACACAGCCAAAGCAGGGCCCAAGAAGAGGATGGTCTTCTCTAATGGCTACAGAATAATTTTTATAAGGCAAATTCCCCACTATTAACTTAGAAAGGACTCAACAGATGTCTTCTTGAACAATAAAGTTGAATAAGTTTCATACTTCTCCCAAATATTATGCTTAAACCATAGCCAATAATAACAACAATAATAATTCCCATGGTGTAAATATGAATAATAGTACTTCCCTGAACCGTAAAGTAAAATCAAATCCAGCTTATGGTTAAAACTATAGTAAAATTAGCCACCCCAAAAAATAATTAGAAATCCCAATGCTGTCTTCATTATTTATGCCTCAAAAGTGATTATAATGGCAAACCTATGTCCTTGTATAAAGTGAGAAAATAAATGCAACAACATACCTTGAGAATTTGATCTTGCATAGGCCGGGAAATCATTAATATTCCTTCCAGCTGAGTGATTTTCGTAATGCTCCAATCGTTCCTCACTATCAATATCTCTATGACATTGGATTACATGATCATTGCAACTGTAGTTAGGAGTTGAAGCAAATGCCCTTGCCTGCGTGTGCCAGCATTTTAGTCACACAAATTAACAAATATGTACATAATTCATAACAATCATGTGTGCATATCTTTGCACAAATGCACATCTGCCCTCTTTCTTTATGCTCTTTCTGTTTTCTTTCTTTTTCTGAGGTGTGAAGTTTGCCTTAAAAAAAAAAAAAAGGTGGAAGCTATTGAATATAGCACTCACTTCTTCATGAACTGGGGCAAGCCCTTGAAAAGTGCTACTAGTTTGTCTATTAGGATTACAGGAGTCATCAATCTCTGAAATGGATTCAGTTGTTGAGGCATCCGCATCACTATGTCTCTCCTGATAAAATTAAGACAAATCATACAAGGAAGCCAGTGCTTTCAAAGCTGAGTGCAAAATAAGGCATAAAGCTTACAAGCTTAAAGTACAATGAACATTACCTTCATTGTGCGAATCTGGACATACAAATCAATCTTTTGCTGTCCAAGGCATCCTCTAGTAATCTGTCCAGCCATGGTTGCCTCAGCATTATATACAAGCTAAAAGTAGTAGAGGAAAGACATGTCAGATTCTGAACTCCTTTCCAGTGGTTATCAAAACAGAAATATGATAATGGATGAGTGATTAAAAATAGAAAAATAAAATCTGCAGAAAACAGGCACCTTCATTATATCTGGATCACTCCATGGACCCTTGCTAGACCTTAGACAGCCTCCCTCAACAGGACAAGTACACGATCCACCCAAGAAGTCAGGAAGTTCACTGTTAAGACAAGAAATCCAGAAATAATATCGTCTGTGATAGCAAGTCAAAAAAAAAATAAAAAATAAAAAACAAAAAAAAACAAACAAACAAACAAACCTACCTCGGTTCAATCACTTCAAGCAATTTCTCCAAATCTTTAGGTTCCAAAACCTGCAAGTGATAGGAAATCAAAAGATACAGTCAGAGTTGAAACTAGGCCACACATCACACACCAATACAAAACTTTACATATACCTGGGATTTAGCAATAGTCTTTGCATCCAGAAACTTCTGTGCTGCAGGCCAGAGCAACTTCTTGAACCCAGGCCCAGCATTAACAATAAACAACTGATTCAGTGTCTGCAGTTCAGGTTGAAGATAAACATGGGCAAATGAATTAGAGCTAAATCTAGAAATTTCTAAGGGAAATACAAATAATAATAGTAATAAAGCACTCTGATTATTATGAGGTCATAATACCTCAGGATAGTTGCTACTGTCAATTTTTGCCATGGCTGACAAAAGACTAGCAGCTGTCATTGTGAAATTTTTCATTCCCTGAATCAGACTGTGCCATTTTAGTACATGAAAGAATTACTCCGCTAGAAAATGAAATGCCTAAAAGTGAGCAGATCCAGTGGCAACATAAATTCCATGTCAGTACCGTATAACAAATAGGAGAAAGCCAAACAGGTGAAAGTCACTCACAAACATTATGGGGAAAGCACAACATTCAATAAAGTAACACTCTCCTTGACAAAAAGGAACGGACAAAAGATAGCTTTCAGTTGAAGAACCATACCAGGCCTTGCACATCTAATATTGCAGTTGTCGAACAGATTCTTCTCTTAGACGCAATTGAACAGGCAGGGAATTTCTCATGTATGACCCTCTCAAAATCTTGGACATGATGCTTCAAGTAGCGTTCTATGGTGGTTATCTTCATTAGTTTGTTTGGGTGAGCTTGTCCAAGCCTTTCAATATATACAGGTCTGCCTTCCTTGTCAACACCATGATATCCTTGGGGGTAATATTGCAACACTTCTTCCAGCTCTTCAAAGTCAAAGTCCTGTCAGTAAATAAGTGCAAGGACAGTGGAAAAATTAAATCGGCACATGTGATCTAAATATAACGTGCAAGACAATATGTAATTACCTCCAGAATTGTGTCTGTTCCATACTCTTTCCTCCAATTAACCATATCTTCCCACATGTGAATGGTTTTGTCAATATTAAAGTCTCTAGATTTCAAAAATCTACAAAGCAGAAGTACGTAAACTTTCTCATATCAAACCTTAGTTGTCCATTCTGCAGTGAAAAATATGTGCAAAAACATAGTACAAAGCTGCATCTCATATATAAAGCAAGTAACTCACCTCAACAGAGTGTGATAGTCATCCAGTCTGGGTGGCAGAAGTTCGTGGGAACCAAGTCTTTGACGCAGTTCGTAAACAGCACTCTCCTCTTTTGCATCACGTGCATCCTCAATGGATAATGAAGGAACCCTGTAATCAATTCTCCTTTTCCCTCTCTTCTTCAGTGACCGAGTGAACTTACCGGAAGCATTTCTTGCTTTTTTCTTCAGAACTCCAATTCCAGATCTCCGTCTTTCCTCTTCTAAATTTTCAAAGTTAGATTTCCTTTCTCTTGGTTCATCGTACAGTTCCATTCCTAGGCCAAATATGCATGATTAAGAATTTATTAACGAAGGGATAACATGAAATACAGTAAAAGCAAAAGGACAATAATTCTGCATCACAATTTATTAAAACAGAGCTTATACGGTTATACCAGACATCTTATCCAGCTACTCCTCAGTAAAACATTTGAAGATGCATCTCACCCTGACACCAAGAAAAGTAAATGAGTTAAGAATGCAAAAGCATATCAGGTTTAAAACAAAAGAAAACAGCAAAGATATCATTCCAACTAAACAATTCGGGTCCTTTTTCCTAGATTACTATGTTTTGCTAAATAGGCATTGTTCCATTCAAGGAATTTTTAAAAGATTCCATCCTCCCCCATGCAAAAGAAAAAAGACACATACTATTTTACTTCTCTCTCTATATAGTGTGGTTAAAACATAAAGGCAGAGAAAGAAAATTAATTGAAGTTAATGGCAGATTACTGCATTCACAAAAATTAAACTAAGCACATATCTTAAGATCCAGAATGCTTCAAATTTACTCAATTTCATTCATTTCCCTGTACACTGATTATGCCAAAAAAAGTTTAAACAACCCTATACAATTCAAAACCTGGTATTGATGCTATAAGAATGCAATGACTTATCCAGAAACGCATACCGTCAGATCACCCTTCAATCTAGAAATATAGGGCAAAGGAAATTTTAAAAGAAAAAAGAAAAAATTAAGAAGGCTAACTTTAAACCATATACATTGTTGAAAACATATGGAGATGCGTTATTTAGATGCAGGTGTATCAGGTGTGTAAATATAAATATAAATATAAATACATATAATTAATGTAAATGCGGTAGCAAAGGCTTGCCGAAAACCTAAAAAAGGAAAGCTAAACCGAAACGAAGAGAGCTATTACGTTGATTTTCTGGAATCGCATATCGAACGAAACGTTGGGAGAAAGTAAAGTAAAATCAAAACTCAATAAATCTCAATTCATAGAAAATTTTAATTCTACGTTCAGCTGGGAACAAGGAATGAAAACGAAAACGAAAACGAAAGATCGGATGTCGTTATCTGCATATGTAGAAGGTTACGTACGTATGTATGTACCTCCATCGATCGATGGCTTTTGCTTTTGTTTTTGTTTGCGTTCTTTTTTTTTTTTTCTTTCTCTGACTAAACGAATTTTTGGAAATATGAACTTATGAAGCTCCCCTCCTGGCGCCTTTTCATTATTTAGTGGCGGACAAAATTCACATTGCACCCCTCGTTTATTGATACAACAATGGAACAAAATCATTCGAATTCGCTTTTTTTTTTTCCTTTTTTTTTTTTTTCATTTACTCCATACATGTCATCTCAAATTCTCAATGTCTAAGGATGGTAGGAATGACGGTTAGAGCGCACAGGTCCTTAGCTCAATAGTTTAATAAGTATTATTTAAAAAAAATTAATGTTCAAACTTCAGCAGTGGTAGAGCTTATGTTTAATATGGACATATTCTTTGTACACACCGACATTTGGTTCTGGATGCTAAGTCATTGAATCACTGTGGTTTATATCCTCCTAAATATTCTGTCAAATGAGAGTGTGTCAAGCTATTAGAGTTAAGGATTCAACCTTTTTAAGAAAAGAATAAAGGAATAAGGTTCAAATTGGCCACTGAACGTAACTTGAAAATGCAATTAGGCCACTGAACGAAAAAAAAAAAAGTGCAATTAGGCCACTAAACACACAAAAAACGTGCAATTAGGCCACTGAACACTCCAAATGTATGCAATTTTACCGGATAGCAGGTTATCATCAATTTTAGTAGGTTACCTGCTTACGTGGCAGCTGAGTTGGCATTTTTAATATTTTTTAAATATTTTTTAATAAATGTTAAAGTAAATTTAATAATAAATTTTAATTTTTTAAATAAATTTTAAATTTTACTTGCTTACCATCGTTTTTTAAAAAAATTTTTTTAAAAAATTATTATTAAAAATTATTTAAAAATGCCAACTCAGCTGCCACGTAAGCAGGTAACTTGCTAAAATTGATGGTAATCTGCTATCAGGTGAAATTGCAATTGATGGTAACCTGCTATCAGGTGAAATTGCATACATTTGGAGTGTTCAGTAGCCTAATTGCACTTGGGCTAATTTGAACCTTATTCCAAGAATAAATGAGGCTTGGGCTCTTGTGTAATCATTAATAATTGCTTGGCAAGAAGAACTTTTGCAACTAAATTTGCAACGGATGTAAAAGGATTGTAGATGTCTTGTTAGTTTTTTTAAAATAATTGATTTGGGTTGTGAAATAATAGAACAATAGAGAGAATATGGATAGAAGGGAGAGGATTTTTTTATTTGATAATTTCAACTATGTATATCATGTTATCAATTACAAATGAAATACTCCGTATATGATACTATATATAAGAATTAAACTTGACCTTTATATATACAACATAAATAAAGAAGATGAACAGGCGGCGATGGAAATGTCATAGAGTAATGGCCATCAATATATATATATATAGAGAGAGAGTTAATATATTTGAGGTCTTTGACTAATTGTTAAGGGTGAGCATCGATTTCGGTCGGTTTTTGATTAATAACCGAAAAAAAGTTACCCCTCGCGTAACCGACCGAAATAAGTAACCACACCCCCTAGGTTACTCAGAGTGGGGTATGTTAACAAGCTTTGCACGATGAGTTGTAGGGTCTACATCTACTCGGAGACCAAGCCTAGCAAGTTCAGGAACATCTACACTTCTTTGAAGCTCCAAATCTGTTACTACTTTTTGGTTTTCTGTATTTCCTTCCAGTAGATTCCTTGCAGCCCAGATGCCCCATTCCCTCAGGAACGGATTATCTTCATCACTAACACACTGTTGTAGTAACAAAATAATACCATTTCTCTTTCTGATTTCATCCTGCACCAGCTTTCTCCGGTATGCACAGTTTCCGATCACAGCGACAATGTCTCTCCGGAAGCCTTTGTAAGGGCAACGTGCAGTTGGAGAAGAAGACGTGATCTCCCCTCGGTCCATTGCTTTCTGAATTGTTGCTGGAGGTTCAAGGTTGGAGAGGAAAGCGAGCAGCAATTCAATTAGTCCTGATGAAACTAGCATGCCCACGGCATCATCTGAAGCTCCAGTGAGATGATCACAGGCACAAATGTCTCTCAAAATGGTTAATGAGTACCCTAGAACATCAATAACAGCATTGCCAGTTGGTAGACCAGTTTCCCCTCTAGTGGAGAAATCAACAACCCCGCTAGAACTTCTCAGTATCCCAAGAATGCACGGGGCGAAATCAGGGTTTACAATTATACCCTCTATGCTTTCGTTCAGTATCTCTGAAAGGATGCTCAAAATATATGCTTGTTCAGCAACAAAATGCCCACTTTCGACACCACAATCTGGACCTAACTTGAAGAAAACTGATGCAGTGCAGGACTCTTCAATGCAAATTCTTGATATAAGTAACTTGAACCATTTTTCTATCGAATCAACTGTCAAATACACAACGAACAAATTACTTAAGCATTCTTATATCTTAATATAAACATAAATATAAGTAAATCAGCAATGCGTACCAATAGATGCAGTCTGTATAATTTCAATGACAACTGCCAACCCTTGCTCATTACATAAATCAGCTAATAGCCCATCATCACCCTCACAGCATGTGTAAATAACCATACATAGGGGATCGCAGCTTTCCCTACTTCTTACTCTAGCAATATTCAAGAATCCATGTGGAAAGAATTGGCACCAAACAGCACGCTGATGTTCTCCACCAGCCAATACAAAATTAGCCAGGAGTTGCAGCCCCATTCGAACAATCTCGCCATTATAATCAGAAGCAAATCCAGCAGATCTAATAATAGTCGAGACAACTTCAGCTCCATTTTGTTCAAGAAAAGCATTCTGATTTCTTATTTCTCCTGCACATAGGTTTCTAAGTAACTTCAAAGCCGGCAAAAGGATGTAGCAACCAGCAGGATATGCGATAGATGAGCATAGTTGCAGGAGTTTGGAAACAATATTTTGGGAAGCAAGGTCCAAACGACCTTCTGCAGTTTTGGCAATGTCAATAAGCTGCTCTAGAGCCTTTTCTATGGTAGGAGACTTTGAAGCAATAAGTAATGGTTGGATAAGATTTTCTTCATTTGAAAGCTCCAACCCTACTTCCCTATCCATTCTCTAGCCAAGCAGCTACAACAAAAATCAAAATACTCGAAAGAGTCCCGTAACTGAGTAGCACCTGTTGTATTTCAGGACACCTTCAAGAAACATCTAATAGAACTCTGTTAGTAACCCTGCAATGATCAAATTCATATTACCACAAGATAACCAAACAATGCAAAAAGGCTGAAATTTTAATTAACATCAAGAAATTACACTAACAGAAACACAGATTGCTTAAGATGAGTTTAAAATCCCCACTCCTTCAACAAAGTAATATGCATATGACAATGCAGAGAAGGCAATTCTAGGGCTATAACCTTTGTTAGTAATTAGAAAATCAATCCTTCAATTATCACTTGCAATAAAATTAACCCTGTTAAAACCTTGAAGCAAACAAACCTATGGTCAATAAAGTGAGAACCCGTTTAAGACTTCAACTATTTGAAGAGCACAAGATACTATATCTAGAAAATTCAGTAAATGGCAATACTAGTAAAAATACAAATATAATCTATATCATATTATTACAAATATAAATGTATATAGCAATAAATTATTGGCAGAATGCTTAACATTGTTTAGTGTTAATGTATATAGCCATTTATGTTCACAGTTCACAGTTCACAGTTCACAGAATCACAAAGGTTACTAAACATTGTTTAGTGCAAATGTAAGAGGGAGGAGGCCGAACCGCAGTAGGGAGAGAGACCGGAGTAGGGAGACTGCCAGACTGGGAGAAGGCCGAAGTGCCGAAGTGCCGAACCGCAGCCCGCAGGTCTCCGTCGTTGGTGTAGCGCCGGTCGCTGGTCGGAGACTCGGAGTTCGCAGTTTCGCACTTCCGCTTCGGCCTTCGCAGTTCGCAGAGAGCAGATAGATTAGGGATTTAGGGCCATGGGAAATGGGAATAAGCTTTACTGCTTTCGCCTGTATTTTCTTTAACGGGCCGGTAATCCAGGCTCAACCCGTTTAACTCGGATTTTATACGGGTTAAGCGGTTCGGGTTGAAATTTCTCCACCAAATCCGACTAAAACACGAGTTAAACGAGCTCAATTCGATGAATTGGGTCCATTTTAACAGCTTTATTTTCAATGGATTACTCAATGATAACTTTTGGAATAAGGTTCAAATTGGCCACTGAACGTAACCTGAAAATGCAATTAGGCCACTGAACGAAAAAAAAATGCAATTAGGCCACTGAACACTTCAAAAATGTGCAATTTCACTTGATAGCAGGTTACCCTTAATTTTAGCAGGTTATCTGCTTACGTGGCAGCTGGGTTGGCATTTTTAATAAATTTTAATTAATTTTTAATAAATTTTAATAATAATTTTTTATTAATTTTTTTTTAAAAAAAATAAAAACGACTTTATTTTATTTTTTATTTAATTTTTTCCATTTTTTTATAAAATTTATTATTAAAATTAATTATTAATAATTATTTAAAAATTATTAAAAATGCCAACTAAGCTGCCACGTAAGTAGGTAACCTGCTAAAATTGATGGTAACCTGCTATCCTATCCGGTAAAATTGCGTACGTTTGGAGAGTTCAGTGGCCTAATTGCACATTTTTTTAGTGTTCAATGGTCTAATTGCACTTTTTTTTCGTTCTGTGGCCTAATTGCATTTTCAGGTTACGTTCAGTGGCCAATTTGAACCTTATTCCTAACTTTTTAAAAGTTACTAATTTTTTTTTGAAAAGAATTTATAAGGTGTTTGCAAAACTTTTTTCAGTTTGAGTGTGTGAACTTTTTTCAATAGTTTGTGAATTTATTTGACATTTTTAAAATTTAAACTATAAAAAAAATGTATATCTAAAATATAAAAATAAATTAAATAATAAATTCATATCCTTACATGTTATCCATTAAAATTTAAATAATTAATTTATTAAACATCTTTATATAAATATAAATAAGAGTAAATATTCAAAATGGTCCATCGACTATAGCTAAATTCATAAATTGATCCTCGACTTTCAATTTCAACCAATTAAGTCCTTAACTTTGTAATTTTGACATGATTTGGTCCTCCATCTATTTGACCGTTTATTGATCGTGATCGACGATCTCCAGAAGAACCTTCAGCTCTTGTCGGAGCACGTGGAGGCCTCCAAGATGACGTTGCACTGGTTCGGAAACACGTCGTCTTCTTCGCTCTGGTACGAACTCAACTACATTGAAACATTGAATCCAAATGGAGGATGAAGAAAGGCGACCGGATTTGGTAGATTGCTTTCGACAGTGGATTCAAATGTAACAGTGCGGTCTGAAAATGCAACCAGAACATTAAAAAATCGACGATGGACCATGAAATTACATATATATCCTCAAAAATCACAGTCGACAAACGGTCAAATAGACAGGGGACCAAATCGTGTTAAAATTATAAAGTTAAGGATTTAATTGGTTGAAATTAAAAATCGATGACCAATTTGTGAATTTAGCTATAGTCGAAGGACTATTTTGAGTATTTACTCTATAAATAACTAATACAATAATTATTTTTTTTTTTGAAACAATACAGCAATATTTATTAATCAAAACAACTAATAAAACATACTGTCACTATTATTGTAAGAATATACCAATAGAATAATGTCGCATCAGCTGACTTTTGCAATAGGCACCTGTTCACTTGATCATCATTCATCATTTCAATTTTCAACATTTTTTGTACCACAATGTCACAATCACACTTTTGATTTAGGGACAGAATATAAGTTGTAATTTATGTGGATGAAAATCATTTGTGGCACATATTACATAAAAAGTTACTCTGTATAATTTTTGTTTCTCAATTATACTTTACACTCGTTATAACTTTTTACTCATCAATTATTTGTGAAATACCTTTTCTTTTTCTAAATTTTATTGGGGTTAGATTGAAAAAGTCATTTCATAAATAATTAATTATAATATATTTATTCATAATAAATTATTTCATCATTAAAAAAATTGGATTACTTTCAATTTTTATCCTAGATCTATAGGTGTTAGTTCACTTTTAATCTGTTTTTTATTTTAAAACATTCATGTTTAGTCATAATATATTGTGACATTATTATTTTTTATCCGTTGTCAACAAACCCGTTTAAATGACGCTAATATAAGGACATTTTGGTCTATTTAATTCTAAGTGTTAAGTCATTTTTTTAGGTCCTAAATTTATATGTGTCATTTCATTTTTAGTTTTTTTTTTCAAAATATTTTTGTTGGTCATAACATTATTGTGGCATGTCAGCTTTTTATCCTCTATCAACAAATATGTTTAATGACATTAAAATTGATGTTATTAACCACTTAAAATCCTCCTTATTTGCGGATGAATACATAATTGGTGCCCACCGCCAATGAATATGTTAAAATGCAATATTGACGCTTCAATTTTTGCGAATGGAGTAGGCTGACTTTGGTGCAATTGTGCGAAATCATGCTAGACAGTTTGTGGTTGCTTACGCCGCTCGTCTAAACTGTGATCGCGACCCTATGTGGCTGAATCCATGGCAGTTAAGGAAGCTATTTCTTGGTTAAAGTCTTATCTTTTTGTTAATTTAGTTATTGAAACAGATTGCCTTAATTTGTGTACTAGTTTTAATTCGTACTCATTAGACCTTTCGTATAGAGCTTTGATTGTAAAGCAATGTCGTGATATTGCTAGTGACATTGGGAACGTGTCTGTTTGCCATGTCAAGCGGTCAGCGAATCATGTGGCTCATGTGTTGGCACGGGCAACTGGTTCTTTGTCTGTTCTAGAGTTGTGGTTGTCTGTTCCACCACCCTGTATTTTTCATTTGTTTGATTATTAATGCATTTGAGTTGTTACCTTTCCAAAAAAAAAAAAAAATCTACTGAAAAGTCCAAAAAAAAATATTTGAAAAAAATTATAAGTCTACTCTATGGCAAACCTGAAATTTAGTGCATAAGTCTACTTCATAAAAATTCACAAGACTTGTGGTTCTATTACCAAGAACAAGAAAATAGGATTTTGAATGATTAACAACGTCATTTTAATGTCATTTAAACATATTTGTTGACAGATGATAAAAATGGTCATGACACAATAATATTTTGAAAAAAAAGTGACTAAAAATAGAATGACACATAAATTTAGGACGAAAAAAGCAAAATGACTTAACACGTATAACTGAATATACCAAAATGCCCTCATATTTAATGTCATTTAAACAGTTTTGTTAACGAAGGACCAACAATGGTCATATCACAATAATACTAAGACCAAACAGAAATGTTTTTTTTTTTAAATGATTAAACTAAAAGTAAACTGACACCTATAAATTTAAAATAAAAAATAGAATTAACTCTAAAAAAATTAATTATAAATGTAATCAGGTGGAATTAGACTACTTCAATTTTGAAATTATACCCTTACTCCTCTTGACTAAATACAAATTTTTTTTCCTTTTTATTCAAAACAACTGAGTATAACATTATAACTATACTTTTGTTTTTAACCAACTCTATCCACCATAAATACCCCAAAACACAATAATGTTAACTTGACCATTATATTGCATATTGGGCATTGGGCAATGCTATGAGAATTTCACCTTCTTGTGAATGACAAGTACTTGTCCTTTTACTTAATAGGCTACTACCGTGATTTATCCTATGCAATTTTGTCAGACGAAGTGTAAGAAGTTTTAGAGCAAGTTCACTTTCTGTAAGTAAGTAAACACGAAATACAACTTAACGTATAGAGATAGATAATATGATATTAATCTCTCTAAATTTAACAAATATCCTAAAAAAATATTCTAAATCAAGGTTAATTTTCTTACACCAATACTCTATAGGTAGATAAAATGATTCGAATCTCTTTCATCTTAACAAGGTCTTGAATTGTTTGTTACTTTGAGGTCTTATCTAGCACAAATATAATTAGTTTAAGTGGGTGGTTTGTGAGAAAATACCAAACCAAAAAAGAAAATGGAAAAAAGTATTGTCCATGGCTTATCGGCCTAATACAAATTTCCTTTCCCTCTTTAGGCGGTGAGAAGCTCAAGTGCTCCACTTCTGCTAGCTGCCCACTCAAATCCCCTTCCTTGAGTTCCTTCAATCTCTGTTGGCTCTTCTTCTTCTTCTTGGTTGGTTTTCGCTTCTCACTTGTTAAATATTTGTATTATGATTATGATATAGTTAATAAAGTGTAGTTATTGTATCTTCCATTAGCTTGTCTCTAATTTTTATGTTCCAGTCTCTCCGATAGGTTTGCAGAAGCTAATTAAGGTCTGTACTGTTTCCGTGAACATGGTTGGCCTCTGTTTCAGTATTTTGTGTGTGTGTTTGTTTATGGCAGATTGCAGATTCTTTCAGGTCATTAGGGAAGAGGAGAAGAGAAGATAATATCTGCAATTAACCCCCCACCCCTTCTACTTTAGCAAATCCCAAAACAAACTAAAATAAGTATTATAGGGTCGTAATCATATGGATAATAGCATATTAGCTGATTGTTTGAATCTGAAACACCATTGACTTCTGATTTTTCATATTCATGTGTTTCCTTGTTTGGATGCTTACCTTAAAGATGAAGGTGTTTGGTAAATGACCGTTAGCGGATAGTTGTTAGTTGATTGGGTTAGTGAGTTTGACTAGTTGATAGCATTAAGTGATTGTAGAAAAGTGTTTGGTAAATTATCTGTTAGCAAGCTGATTACATACAAAATGACTTTCTCAAAAAGTTAATTGAAAAAGCTAGAATTTTAGCATTTTGAAGCAATAAGTTGTTACAAAAAGCTAATTAGTCTAACATTCAAATTGATTGTTTAACGGCTAATAGTGGTCAAATAAGCCAAAATTGGCTGATAGACTAACTATTTTACCAAACAGGCCAAAGTTCCGGGTTGGATAATAGCATATCAGCTAAGCTGAAACATCCCTAGGTAGTTTGGTTAAAAATCAAATGAATAAACATCAGAATTCCACTTTTGAATGTTGAAATTATTTCTTGTTGCTTACATGAAAAGATGAAGTCTCAGTATGGATAATAGCATATCAGCTAGGCAGAAACATCTCTTGTTTGGCTAAACTTTTGATACTTGGAATAAACATCAGAATTCCACTTTTGAAAGTCTCTGATTGTTTTCCTGGACATTCATCTCAGTATCCTTAGAAATTTGGACTGTTTGGTTTACTGGACATTCATTTCAGTATCCTTAGAAATTTGGACTGTTTGGTTTACTTTGTAGGAAGGTATTTTGGACAAATATGCATATGGATGTAAGGGTTCTAACTCTTGCTGCATTTTTGGGCAGGGCCTACTTTAAACCACATTCGTTCTGATCAACAATGGGAGGTATATTGGGTAAGGCTGCTGTACCACAGACAAAGCTAGAAGCAAAAATAGTTGAGGCAATGCAGCGGAGAGAAAAGGAAGGGACTTCCATTAAGTCATTTGATAACATGTTACTAAAGTTCCCAAAAATTGACGAGAACTTGCAGAAATGCAAAGCTGTATTTCAGGAATTCGGTACAGACCCACACATTATTGTTTCATTTGCAGTATATAATTAAGAAGTCAACTGACCCTGTTTTAAAAATTTATTTTATAAATCAGAGTTGGTTCCTTGAAATGCAGGAAAAGAAAATAAATCATGTTTAGTTACATTATAACAGTAATATTTTCTCTACTAGTAATAAGAAACTTTGTGTTTTTGCTTCTAGATGTGGATGGGAATGGAGCAATAGATCCTAAAGAGTTGAAGTACTGTTTTCATAAACTGGAGATTAATTTTACAGATGAAGAAATCAACGATCTTTTTGAAGCATGTGATGTTAACCATCATATGGGAATAAAGTTCAATGAATTCATTGTTCTTCTTTGCCTAGTCTACCTGTTAAGGGACAACTCTAATGCTCTCCATGCTGTATCCATTTACTCCTTTTTTTCTGGATCCTTTTTATCTAGCAAAACACTATTTTCATCTTCACATGTCACTCTTTCGTACTATAGTATCTTTTCATTACTTTTTCAATGTTATTCCTTGACCCTAACAGCAATCTGGGATGGATCTGCCAAATTTTGAGTCTACATTTGAAACATTGGTTGATGCTTTTGTATTTTTGGACATAAACAAAGATGGTTATGTCAGTAAAAGCGAGATGGTACAAGCAATAAATGAAACTACATCAGGAGAAGGATCATCTGGCCGTATAGCCATGAAAAGATTTGGTATTTTAGCTTCTTTAATCAATGATTTATCTGAGACTGTTACTGGTTGCTTGAATTTTACTAACACGCCATGGTTCTGTATTGCAGAAGAGATGGATTGGGACAAAAATGGAATGGTGAACTTCAAAGAGTTTTTGTTTGCTTTTACCCGTTGGGTTGGTATTGAGGATATGGAGGAAGAAGATGATGAAAGTAATGCTTAATTCAAAAGTTACCAGCATTTCATTTGCTCACTTCCCCCTTAGATTTCAATGCCTTGCCAATGTGTACTTGTGTAGGAGGATCAAACTAAACTACATTGCCAATTGCCAATACATTTTGTTCTCTCCTTTGTGTTTCTCATGTAAATACAAGATGGATTCTCCAGATATGGAATATAATAAGAACATTAGATATTACCCTCATGGGTGAAAGCAGATATCTCCCAGCTATTTGCTGAATTATTGAACTTGATAACTTGATTGAAGTCGGAATGTGCTTCTTCTTGCTAGGTTTTCCATTATATGTGATGGATACCCCTAGTAGGGTACCTAGTCAGGTATGCCCTTAGGCGATATGGGTAGAAGGGTACCTAGAGAGGTATGCCCTTAGGCGATAGGGTAGTCAGTTGGCGGGCCAACAATATGCACGCCTTTCTGCACTATTTCTTTTTGGTTTAACTCAACATGCAAAGGTATTGTGAACATGGAAAAATTGTATTGCATTTACTCTGAAAATTTGGTACAAGGTAAAATCACTAAAATGTATGATTGTATAATGTGTTTACAATAATTTCAGAAGAGATCTTATGATTCTATGATTGATTTGAATTTATTTTGAATACTTAACAGAGACTTTGTTATCCATTTGGAATTTATTTGAAAATTAAACACTTCAATACGAACATATTTGCTTTGAACGCAATGAATATGGACTTGATTAGCCTCGAATTGGATACTTAAGACTTGAATATTTTGAAACTTAAATACTTAAAGAGTTAATACTCAAAATTGTCATCGACTATAGTGATTTTTCTCATTTTCGTCCTAAACGACTTTGGTGACCTAATATAATCCCAGACTTTTGTGTTTCGCTCAATTTAGTCCTTCGTTTGTTATTCCGTCAAATTGGTGTTAAATAAAGGGACAATTCAATAATATCAATATTGACCTTTCTTTACTTTCAACCTGCAAAGTGAGAAATCTCTCTTTCTTGTACGAATTACACTCATAATTACTTTCAGGCCTACGAATCAAATTTTATATTTGCAGGTTTATGAGTGATTGTGTGAGTAATTCGTAAAAAAGAGGAATTTCGCACTTCACATGTCTACGAGTAAAGAGATGACAATATTAAAATTATTGAATTGTCTACTTATTTAACAACAAATGGACGGAATAACAAATGGGAGACTAAATTGAGCAAAAACAAAAAAGTCTTGGACTAAATTAAGTACAAACACAAAACTCTGGAACTACATTAAGTCACCAAAGTCGTTTAGAACAAAATTGAGAAAAATCACTATAGTGAAGGACAATTTTGAGTATTAACTCAATACTTAAACTTCAAACTTAAATATTTTCTTTTTCCGTGCCCCCTTTCACTTGGAACGGAAATCTTTATTTATAGTAAGGGCATCATCAATAGTGGTAAAATTTTGAGCAGATTTTGCAGATGTGATTAGGAAAGAGAAATGGGTGAAAAGGAAAAAAGAAAAGGAAAAATAAAAAACAAAATCAAAAACTGAAAAAAACCCTCCAAAATCCCCAAAATTTTGACAAAATCCCTTAAATAACCAAACAACCACAACCCTCTCTCTCTTCCAACACATCAACTTTTTCTTAAAATATGTGCAAAATCCCCCTAATGCGGATGCCCTAAGAAACATTACATTATAAAATATCTCCGTGCCCCGTTCACTCCGTGCCCCCATTCTTTACATTCAAATTTTGAATTAAAAAACATTATACCAATTTAATTAAAAAAATATTTGAACCCTTTATCCTATCCAATTTATTCGCAATATTTAGATATATTTAAATAACTAACTAAATAAATAAATTATATATATATATAATCATGGACCATACATAGACCTAGAAATTCGTGTAAACAAGTTCATTTATCGGTTAATATATATGATAGTAATAACACAAATACAATAAGACTAAACACGTTTAACTTGTAAAGGCTAACAAGTTAAAGTTTTAAACACGAACACAAACACAATTTTTAAACGAGTTAAATGAATTTGACACAGTAAACACATTTAGTTCATAGGTTTTGAGTCCACATAACACAATAACCCATCTAAAATCATTAGGCATATTAATATAATTTTCTACACAGACACAATAACCCATTTAAAATTCGTTACACATGTTAATATAATTTTCTTTTTAGAAAATAAAAATATAGAAACAAATTTACTTTTAATTTACAATTAAATACAACAAAATAGTCAATATATTCAATTCATAACATACTATAATATTCATAATATCTAAAAATCATAACTAATGTTAATATTAACATGTTAAATGAGTCAACAAATTGATCCGTTAAGACACAAATTTTAACATGTTTTTAATAGGTTAACTCGTTAATGACTCAAGACACATTAAGATTAAACAATAACCAATTGTTATATCATAGATCATGATCCACCTTGCATTGTGAACTCTAATCTAAAGCGACATTCAAATTATGTGACTGCATTTAGCGTATTATGTACGGCTAATAAATTGTGCATACTACAATTAATATATTATGTATATGTAGGTAATATATTATGCGTATGTAGTTAATAAATTACGTATTTGCAGTTAACATATTATATGCCTTCAAATTATTTATAGGTATATAATCTATTAATTGTAAACACATAATATAAATGTCATTTTGAATCAAAATTTACAATGCAATGTGGCTCTTAATACATGGTATAATTTGTCGAACTTGTTATTTTAATGTCATGCTAACGAGTCGTGTTGCAAATTGTCCGACCTAACCAAACATTTACTATTTTGTTCATTAAGCAATACAATTGACAAACCAGTAAGATTTGACATTTTTTTTTTTTTGGATTAATAAGATTTGACAAATTAATTGACCGAATAATACAATAGTTCAATCAATTTATTTGGCTTCAATATAAAATCCTTTTTGTTCTTGGTCTGCAGTACATACTTGTTATTTGTGCATATAAACAAGTCAACCTATATAAACTACCTTCCTAAATATTATTTTTCACCTTATATCATCTTTTATTACCTTTTTTTTTTTTTTTTTTTTTCTGAATGATCTTGATATTCTTAAATCCATTTATATTTCCTAAATTTCTCTACTTCCAATTAAATATTTCACTCTACCATAAATACCTAATTACCATAAACATACCACATTACCATATGTCTTTATTTCTTCTACTATAAAAGGCCCTAGTTAGATTCAAGAAGAAGAGCTCAATAAACACGCCATCTCTCTACATTTAAATCTCTCTATAAAACACAAGTTGTACATGTACTGGCTACCTACAAAATATAGTGAATTTTGGTTTGACAACGCTCAAAAAGGTCCGTAATTTTCACCATTCGATTTCTACGTTAAAAATATTTTGTCTCCTTTATTTCTTCCCTTCCAATTATTTATTTTCCTACTCTGTCCTTTTTTTTTGAATGCTACTAGCTCTATTACATTGTAGTATCTGTTCATATACTTTCTCAACCTATTGAAACACAAAGAGCTAATAACACCTCCACTGAGGCTTGAACTCACAACCTTCCAAGTGGAAGTCCAACCCGGATACCATTGGACCACATAGTCCTACTCTATCCTTTAGTTGTCTCAATATCTCTCTTTTTACTTAGTAATTTTATGATAGTATTGGCCCGTTGTTCGGCTGCCCTAAGCCATAAAACCAACAATATATGTGTGTGTGCGCGCGCCTATATATATATATATATATATATATATATATATATATATATATATATACTTTGAAAATTCTTTTTTTACTTCTGATTTTGATGATTTCAAATGTGTTTGTATATATACAGTTCACATATTATTTGTATTTAGATTAAAGTTATGTGACCAGGACTATGTGGTCCAATGGTACCCGGGTTGGATTTCTTTTTGGAAAATTGTGAGTTTGAGCCTCAGTGAAGGCGTTATGAGCTCTTTGTGTTTCAGTAGGTTGAGAAAGTATATGAACAAATACTACATTCTAATAGAGCTAGTAGCATTCAAAAAAGATTAAAGTTATGTGTTTGGCATATAGTGTATTTTGTGTGTGATGTTGTCTCTTTGTATTTAAAATTTTTTGGTAGTCAAATTCCTTTTTTTTTTTTTTAATAATCTTATTTAATTTGAATTTATAAATATTAATTTCATCTTAATTTATTAATAACTCAATTTTTATTTATTTATATGTGTCAAAATGGTCAATCTTAAAAGATTGAGATCATTAACAAGTTCAACTGATAAGCATATTTCTCATATGATGTGGCACAATGAGGTTTTTAATCAACAACTCAACCAAATAGTTGAAATAATATCAAATGTTGCACCTAAAGTAGAAGAACATGTAATTGGTTGCATATGTGAAGTGATTTTTAAAATTTTATGATTTTAAAATGTAATCTTCTTTTTATATATATATATATATATATATATTTGTTGCTTTTAAACAAAAATATTGTAGGTTTAAAAAACGTGGTCAAGCACGAACAATCAATACGGGACTTGCCAAGAAAAAAAAAAAAACAAAAAAAAACTAGAGGTTAAGAAATTGTATTCAGTTTTCTCCACCATATTATAAGGTTTGTGGTAAAAATGTTAGTTTGTTCAAAGTTGAGATGAGTATGTGCATTTGGCAATTGAGTCTCTAGTTGGAAAGAGATTCCCAACGAGGATGTCAATACAATGTGGGTATTTTTAAAGGTAAGACTAGAAATTTAAATAATTTCAATATTATATTAGGTTAGGAATGAGAAGTTAGAATAAAATTAGAATTACTTGTTCAAATTAATGAATTTATATACTTGTATATATGACTTGTAAGACAAATTTAATTTTTCAAATGATGTGCAACCCCATGTCACGAAACGAGTACAATTACAGTATAAAAATAGGCATTATCATTTGCGGTCTTTGCTTTTCTGATAGCTCTGACGTAAATGATAATGTTTATTTTTATGTTGTAATTGCACTTGTTTCATGACATGGGGTTGCACATCATTTGAAAATTAAATTTGTCATGCAAGTCATATATACAAGTATATAAATTCATTAATTTGAACAAGTAATTCTAACTTCTCATTCCTAACCTAATATAATATTAAAATTATTTAAACTTTTAGTCTTATCTTTAAAAATACTCACATTGTATTGACATCCTCGTTAGGAATCTCTTTCCAACTAGAGACTTGAAGTGGTGCAAATTGCCGAATGCACATAGTCACCTCAGCTTTGAACAAACTAGCATCTTTACCACAGACTTTATAGTATGGTGGAAGAAATTGAATACAATTTTCTTAGTCTCTAATTTTTTTCTTGGCAAGTTCTGTATTGATTGTTTGCCCTCGACCACGTTTTTAAAAATTATCGTTTTCTATAATAATGTTTTTTTTTTAAAGCAACAATATATAAGTATACAATATTATATATAAAAAGAAAATTAAATTTTAAAGTCATAAAATTTTAAAAATCACATCACATGTGCACATTGTTAAAAAAAAAAATCGCTAGGCACCTATGTATTTTTAAAATTTTTTTTTTAAGGACTTGATAATTATAAACTATTTAATAGTTAATACTAAATATTAACCTAAAAAAAAAACAGCAAAAGTTTGCACAATTTAAGGTTATTTTGTTCAAAACAATGTCATTTTGAGTGATATAACTCATTTTTTTTAAGGTGAACAATAGCTAAGCGGCCAACTAGGTGACCGACCAGCTGTGCAACCAATAACATATTTTTCTACTTTAGGTGTAACGTAATATATACTGCATATATATAGGCACACACAAATACTTGAAAACCCAAAAATTAAAATACACACACAAAATATATGTCAGACATATATATATATATATATATATATATATATATATATATATATATATATATATATATAGAGCCGTCAAAACGGGCTTAGCCCGTCGGCCCGGCCCGGCCCGCTCCTACTTAGGTAGGGGGCGGGTTTTGAAAATAGAGGACCGTTTAGGAGCGAGCTTTTTTGACCCGCCCCGCTTAGGCTCGCGGCCCGCCAAGTCCGTCCCGCCGGGCCCGCGGGTTGCCCGTCATTATTATATTTTATTTTATATAAAATATGCACTTTAAAATTATTGTTATGTGTAATATTTTTGGACTTTGTAGTTGTGACTAGTTTGATCGTTGATAAACTATGAACTTTGAACTTTATGTAATATTTAATGTTTGGTTATTATGTTTTATGTGAGTTATGACTTATGTATCAATTTATTTTAATTAGTTAGATGTTTGATGAACAAATTTTTTTTAAAAAAAGGGGTTTCGGCGGGGGCCCACCTAGCCCGCGGGCCACTGGCGGGGCGGTCCGGGCCTATCAAACCTAGGCCCGTTTAGGAGCGGGCTTTTTTAGCCCACCCCGTTTAGGCCCGCGGCCCGCCCCGCCCCGTCAGCCCGTATTGATAGCACTATATATATATATATATATATATATATATATATATATATATATATATATATAAATGCAAGTCACAGCAACTGAGACGGTTCTGGGGGAGTGCTGCGGGACAGGACAGGGATGGCAAATGGATTGAGGGGTTGATGGGCAAGGCATGCAGAATATGGCCACCCAGCAGCGTTTGTGGAAGTGGCTGCTCATAGTCTTGCGTGTATGGGAGCGTTTCAAAATGATGAGTTGACTTCTTACGATGGTGATGAATATGATAGATATATGAGGTGACACTATACGTGACGGATGACTTGACATTAACATGTTATTCCATATTATATTATAGGTTAAAAAAAGTTAATTGTACCACTCAAAAAAAGAAGAGGTTAATTGTATTATTTTAATAAGTTTAGGAGGCGTTTGGTTCAGGTTATATAACATAACCAATGGAATGTGACATTCCAAAGCTCACATTTCGGTGTTTGGTTCATATTATCTTAGGGGTCGTTTGGTTCACGGAATGTCAGATTACCTTAGGGAATGTCAGATTGCTGGGAACGTTAGATTACTGGGAATGTTAGATTCATTTCTGTGTTTGGTTAAAATTGGGGTATGTAATATAATCATGTTTGGTTTAGGATTATCTTTTATTCACACACTATAATATCCTTAACATATTTTCATATATTTTAATAAATTAAAAAATTAAAATAAATAAATAAGATAAAGGTATCATATATAATTACATGATTTTAAAATATTAATTAAAATATTGAACTTGAGAAACAAAATTATTTTATATGCTAACCTAACATAATAAAAATAAAAAATATATAATTACAAAAATAATTATGTGTGTGTGTGTTTGTGTATGTGTGTGTGTGTGTGTGTGTGTGATAAACTAACATAACCAAGGTTATCTTACATAACCTTAGAAATTGAAGGGAATCACATTCCCTTCAAAATCCTATGTGGAGGAAATGTGACATTCCTGTGGAATGTTAGATTCCCTGAGATAATGTGAACCAAACATAGAAATGTGAGCTTTGGAATGTCACATTTCCTTGGTTATGTTATATAACCTGAACCAAACGCCCCCTTAGGGAATCTAACATTCCCCAGGAATGTCACATTCCCTCCACATAGGATTTTGAAGGGAATGTGATTCCCTTCAAAATCTTAGGTAATGTAAGATAACCTTGGTTATGTTAGTTTATTTTATATATATATATATATATATATATATATATATATATATATATATATATATATATATATATATATATATATATAATTATTTTTGTAATTATATATTTTTATTTTTATTATGTTATGTTAACATATAAAATAATTTTGTTTCTCAAGTTCAAGATTTTAGTTAATCTTTTAAAATCATGTAATTATATATGATATCGTTATCTTATTTATTTATTTTAATTTTTAAATTTATTAAAATATATGAAAATATGTTAAGGATATTATAGTGTGTATAAAAGATAACCTTAAACCAAACATGATTATATTACATACCCCAATTTTAACCAAACACAGGAATCTAACATTCCTAGTAATCTAACATTCCTAGCAATTTAACATTCCCTAAGGTAATCTGACATTCCGTGAACCAAACGACCCCTTAAAGGTTTAATTAGTAATTTTTTAGTTCAATAATCTAATTACATTACATTTTGGTATATAATTAGAGGACTTATTTGACAATTTTTTCTTTGTATTTTGTGTATTTCTATTTCTAATAGTGTAATAATTATTAATAAAATAAAAATAAATTATAGATTATTTGAAAAGTAGACCCTGCAAAAATTCTCAAATGAGAGTAACATTGGAAGGAAGTAAATTAATATTGTGGTTGTTGGTTTGAACTCTCAACTTCAGTAACTTAAACTCTTTTTACTTAAACAAACATCTTTTAGCAGTTAACACCTGTATAAGATGTGGGATTTTGGAAATACTAATCCACTGCATTTGAAAATTTAAGAACCATTGAATATCACAGAACAAGGTGAGAGCAGAGAGTAAAATTTAATGTCTCAAACAATAAAACATCCCAAAAGAACTGGGCAATGAACATGTTCAACTGGGAATGAATACTGGCAATAGATAAAACTAGTCTTTGAAGAGTTATGATTTGACACTACAAAAGCAGTGAAGGAGAGGGCAGAGGAACTTTAAATCAGTACCTAATCTTCCAAAGCACAGATGAGTGCACATCATCAGTGGCATACTTGAGAGCAGAAGACACACATTCTGAGTTTCTAACTGCAATCAACTTAGATCTTAGTAAAGGCAGTAATGCCCGATATCGCGATTGTTTCTTGTTCAATACTCTGATATAAGCAGTTAATCCAAGCCACTCAATTTCCCACTTCTCCACCTCCAGTACAGGCTGAATACCAGAATTAAGCTCCATCCTTTTCTTTATCAGCTTCTTCATGTACCTAAAACGCGAAAAAGCAAACAACTTTCAGCACAAACAAAGAAGCCAAGATAACCAGCTTGGTTGGTGTGAGTGGCCGTGCACTCTCGTCCCTTAAAAGAAGTCGAGAGTTCGAACCCCTCTCGTATGGAAAAACCAATATGGCCAACACTTTGTCCCTTAATTGGGCCGGCCCAGTGCGAACGATGATTAGTCTAAATATGATATGGGCTTAAAGGTGCCTCCTACAGTTAGGGCCTGCTCGGGACACCTCGTGGTCTGACAAAAAAAGAAAAGAAAAGAAATGATTTGTCAATGACATTATAAATAAGATGAACAATCTGCCTAGCACTGATCCCCAGTTCAGTTCACACTTTATCACAGAGGGGGAAAGGGGTGCCTCAGAGGGTAGACATGAATTCATTAATGTGAGCACCTCTAAAAGATTCCATGTTATTGTGAGAAAATACTACCAGAAGTTTGTGTTTTTTGGGGATGGCTAGCCAAGAGTCAAATGTAACGAGATATAAGAAATTTTTACCTCAAAGAAGTCTCCAGGACATCAATATACGAGTTGGTGCTTAGTCTTACAATGCTAGCCAGACCAGAGATGTAGCAATGGAACTTCATGGCACAAAGCAAGAAAGACTGGTAAATGTTGAGTCTCACCACAGCTGCTGAGTTTATGTTTGAATCATAGAATATGCGATGACACTTGGGGCGCAGATAGCAACACAACTTAGATTTCAACTCTCGAACTGGTTTACCTTCCCAGCTGATAGTTAGGGTGGAACTCAAATGGATATTCAAATACCTGTTAAGCAGACAAAATCCATTTCCCAATAAATCTTGCTGTAAGAACAGTCTGCATAAGCTATATGCTTTTGTCACCAACATAGAACAAAAAACACCAATGTCCAAACTAATACTACTTCATAGTATACTTAAATACATACCAGAACACAGTAAATATAAACTATATTAAACAGCCAAAGTATTGATTAGAACAAGAAAGTAACCTCGTATAATCTGCTTGAATTTCCAAAGTGCGACAGTTAACAAATAATCCACTCCATCTAAGAAATGCGATTCCATCATCTCCAACATACAGTTTACTGGATTGCAAACCTGATAGATGATTGATGTCAAAGTTTAGTCCAAATTTTTCTTCATTCATGTAGCAGTTGAATTCACGAAATCCTCTTTTCAGTCGGCTGAGGAAACTAGAAGCTTGGAACTTTGAGGTTGATATGAAAAGGAAGTCATCTATGAACCTAAGCAGAAGATTTTTAGGGGTATCTCCTACAAATTTATCTTCATTACCACATTCTGCAGCTGCAGCATCATGAAAAGTTCCTTTTCCAGATTGATACCCACTGGTAGGCTTACAAGCTTTCTTAAGAAAAGGAAAAATCAAGTTCTTTTCAAGGTATCCATAGTATAGTGAACATAGCAGAGAAGACAAAACACTTCCTTGGGGTATGCCAAGGCCTTGCAGGTAGAATTTGTTATCCATGTGTAGCACATTATGTTTTATGTGCTCCTTTAAGTAAAAAGTAAGCTCATCTTTCATCACTTTTCTGCCTTTTTCCTGTAGCATGTAACATTGTATAATATCAATATGCTGCAACTTTAGAAAATTAAATTTCAATTTTTATCCATCAATCAATTTTTCAACTATATCTACTTGAGCAACCACAATATGTTCCATAATAACAAAAAAAACTGAATTTGAATAATCGATGTATGTGTACTTTAACTTGAAATGGTCATTAACCATTCACCAGGTTACTATATATTAAGTCTGAAATGAAAATAGTTATGGCATACTACAAAATGGCAATCATCAAGAAATGATACTAAGTAAATTATTTGACATTGTACAGCTTATCAGACACTATGTTACAGAATTATGGCTCTTGATCATTCTTAGAGCAAGGAAAATCCTTGCAGATAATTGAAAAAAAAAAAAATTCATAAAGTTATAGTGTTTGTTAAATGTTTGCTCACACTATGGAATAAAAATGGCTTCCTGTTGAACTGAAAATTATTCTCTGCAACCAAATGTCATATTAAACAATATGAAACTTTTACTCAATAACAAAAAGCATATACGTGCCTTTTAACCATCTATATTGTTTCATATTAAAATTTCTATTTCAAATTTTTGTGTACAATGTTGACATTGTCTTTTATCCAGAACTTTATGGTTTGATACTTGGATCATATCAAAATCCGATAATAAATAACTCCAATATGCACTTAAAATAAAGAAATTAGAGAACTTTGTTTTCAACAAGAATATAATGCATAGAGGATTAAATGAAAGTAAAGAATCTTCTTAATTGTTTCCAAACTTTTACTCTTCCCAAATGACAGTCCAAAGTTATGATACCTGTTTCACAAGAATGCCTTGCCATGGACGCGCAGCAAGGGAAGATGTGATACTTTCATGTGCAAGAGCAAGGTGCTGATTGACCCACAAAGATTTCTTTGTGCACACAACTTCAATGGTTTTTGCTAAAATATATTCATTATCTGATATAAAATCCTCCATCACAGTGAGCAATTTATCCTGATTTATTGAGTCAAAAGCTTTAGCTACATCTGATACAACGATGAATACATCAGGTGCTGTGGCAGAACCATTCTTCAGAATCAACAAGAAAGGAACAAGTTTATTGTAGACATCATTATAATTAAATACTGATGAACCCAGTTTCGCAGGTTCTATTATTTGTATTCCTTTTAACACTGCATGCAAACCACGAAGAGCACAATTTACCGACCTAAAATAGTCATATTTGACATTCCTCAGGAGAGAAACCTTCCTCTGCTCACAAGACTGAGAAGACAACTTCACAGGCATTCTTGATGATGCTTTAAGATTTTCCAATATCCTTAACCCATCTTTTTTTGGAAGAAATCTAACCTTCGAGAAACCAAACGATCTGTTCTTCAAGATTTTCTGGGCAGAGGCAACGTTTAATTCTAGGAACTGCTGATCTTTTAAGCAAGTCATAGCTTCAACCTTCACCTGCTTCCAAATAGACTTCCGATAATAAAAGATCTCTTGATTCTCATGCTCAGTTTCAGTTACATAAAAGTGGGCTTGCACTAGTGGCACTACAAGACATGAAAAGAACCAAAACATCCAACACTCTAGAACTTTATGTTTCACAATATCTAAGGCACCAAGTTTACCACATTCTTTATACATATCTGTGAAGCAACCATTTGTAGATCTTAATCCATGAGAATTTGAGTAATATTTATTTGATAAAAGGGGGAACCTAGATATTTTTACTTTATGCATACACTGATTAAGAGAGAACTTCTCAAATCTGCGCATCTGAATGAACTTGGAAATATTCTTCCTCAGTATTCGCCAATTGGAAGGAGTTCCTAATAAATCTGGAGGCACAATACTCCGGCAAACTGCCCAAACAAAAGATACAACCTGTTTCTTCAGAGAATAACATTTACTTGGTCTTAATTGAGAATGCTGGGCTTCAGGGCTTTCAGAACCTTTCGAACTAAAGCAATGTTCTGGAAATTCATCACCAAGCACATACGCACTACAACCTTTTGCACATAAATTCACCTGAGTCCAGTAATCAGCACTTGTTACACAAATATGAAAAAGACAATAAAAAGCATTTGATAAAGAAACAGAGGGAAATGGTGTACAAATGTATAATCTATTGTTCATAAGCTGATACATATTGACAGGGATACAAGGGAAGTCCTTTTCTTCTGATGTAACAATGTTTTACTAAAAAGTGATAGGGCAAGAATGCTGCAACAAATCAAGAACACCCTCAGATGAAGCCACAGTGGAAAATGAGAGAAAAAAAGGAGGGAGGGGGATATAAATTCAATTACTAGGATCATTCACCAAATGCTAAGATAAATATCTGAAGTAAAAAAGAATTTATATCAAAGTTTACTAGCTTTTTATCACAAGTTTCCAATAATATGGGCTAACCTCAACTTCAAATGCCATATACTAGAACACTCATCACTCACTTTGAATCATGTTAAACACAGAGACTTAAAAACGATGTGAATGACCTGATAATCAGAGCAGGAAACTCTTTTGCCATCTTCATCAAATGATGGAACAGGACAGTGCTTCTCCAATAACCTTAAGTGTTGACAGTGCTGAGCCTTACGTATGAGAGCTTTCAACAGCCGAGTAAGTGAGTGATATCTATGGGCCAAAAAGGCAATTATTTTAAAAGAAAACTTGGAACCACAAGTTGAGGAGAGACAGAAATGCTTATATTTAATATAATAGAATGCCTTATTCTTTACCTAGATAACGTTACCTAGGATGTGTGATATGCCGTACGAAAGAATCAAGTCAGATGAACCATGATCTGATTTTAGACTAAGGGTAAGTACTAAAGCAAGGCATCTTCAATTTGTCTGTTTACTTAGATTTTGTTTTACAACTAAGCTCTCGAGCAAAATACCAACAATAGAAGCTAAAATCAATTATGTCTGGACCATGTAGCATGATGCATGACATGTAAGACCAATTCCCTTTCCTCTCCATCAACTTTTATTTCTATATTCAATTTTTTTCCAATAAATTTTACTTACAGTCTGTAATAACCATAAAGCCTAGTCCATTTTATACCCGTCTGAGACCATGTACATCAACTTGCATATAGGTGAACTTAAGTTGGTTTTGTTTTGCTAATTCTAAGCATCTAAGTTCACAACAGGATATTAAAATCACAGGCACAGTAAAAAAAAATTCTCTCAAAAATATGAAGAAGAATTTCATAACATGCATTAAAAAGATGTTGGACTATCTAGCACATTACACTACAGTTCTGCGAGAAACAGAAACATTAAAAATGAATTAAATGATTAAATCAACTAACAAGTGACAAAGAATAGAAAGCAGTCATTGCTCACAAGCATGTTGATCTGATGAAACAGCACTTGCTGCTATGTAGGCAAGGCGAAATTTGACCATTGATCTTACTATAAGATCTGAAAATTTCCTTGAAGAGATCATTTGCACCAGAAGAGTTGGGCTTCAAGGAATTCAGTATGTCTGACCACTTTTTAGATAGAAAACAAATTCTACAAGAGAAAAATGGGCTTTTACCATTTCATGCCTAAACTCATGGGTGTGTGGATGAGTGCAGGATTGGTCTGCGAGAACATATTAGTGAATAACTAGCAAAATATAAGACTCAGCTGCTATCTGTTCCATAAGATAATTTGCCTAGTTAAGAATCCATTGATATTTTTGACTAACAATGGGAACAGAAGAGCAAGCAATAAATTTTGAAAGAGACATGCTACGCAGATTATTATGAGATGCGCAAAACAGAAGGATACGTTTTCTGGGAAAGAGAGATGAACAGCTCTCCAATTTGTAGAACATGGTTCTCGTATTGATTATTACTTCCTCTGTGACATTCAATGGAGTAGAAAATACTAGGCAACAAGAGCACCACCCCGTTGTCTGTTGATATGAAGAGTCTAAATCTTTCACTTTATATTCAAAACTGATTTAGTATTAAAAAGATAATAAATTGACAAGATAAGAACCTTTAAAAGACCACGCCAATAACCCTTCTCATTTCATACTTACAGGAAAGCTATTTTTACCCCTACCAAAAATGTAATAAAAAAAACCAGTAGTACTTGTATTTTTTTTCTTGTTGCAATCAAACTGTTATTTCTCTAGTAATGTTAATGACCACAAGCATCCAGTTGGCAACCCAAGGAATGATTGCATACACACAACTATGAGCTCTAGACACTATTTAGTTCAGAGATCAGAGGGGATACTCAAAAGCTTGTAAGTGCATTGCCTAAAATAGAAGTTAATACTTCAGCCTACCTCAAGAAATTTTAATTAAGAAGTCTCTATTCTCATGAAGAAAAAAATGAGATTAGCAAATGGATTCAGCAACACATGGCATTAAAAAGTAATTGCATGCATCATATTTTTAATGATAATTCAGGAACAATTTATCTTCCAGTGTTCTGAAAATGTTATGCATTTAAGGCAAAACTTACACTGACATTTTTTTCATGTTGAAGAGTAACAGGTAAGTCTCCTTTCTCCATTGAACTTCTGCAAGTGGTCAAGGAATTGGATTCTTGAAATGGCAACTGCTGACGTTTTCTCTGGCGTTGCCAACTATGGAGTCTTCTCCGTTTCCTGTTCAATGAAACAGCTTGGTTTAAGGAACCTTGGCTAACAGAAAGTGAATGTGCTCCTTCGTTACTGCAATTATCTCCACTGGATGTCAAAGTCCCTTTAGATGACTCCCCTTCAATACACCTTTGCCTGCACCGTAAGTGGATGAGATTAGACTATTCCTAACATCACAAATAATAAAGGATCGGCTAGCACAAGATGACATCAAGACCAAACAAACCTAGGGCATAGCTGCTTCACTGACATTGACTGCATGTCATGGAATCTTTTTCTCTTTCCACTGCCCACTAGAAGTAAATTGTAATTTTCGGAAAACTAGTGAGAGATGTCACACAATTCTACATTAGTTATAAACCTCTTACAACCCACCTCTATCTAGGACTGGCTAAGTTCGGAACAGCTTATCACACTCTGCATTACCAGGAATTTGGTACCCAGAAAACAAACTAAAAAATGAAATGGATTCCACAAATATGATGTTGACTGAAGGAAAGAATTAGATATAGAAGAATTTTTTTTTAAAAAAATGCATTTATCAAGCAAATTGAAACAGTATGAGTACTTCCATAAGCATGGTCTAATCAACAGAAGGATATATTTAACTATTGTTATTATCTGAACACATAACAAGTAGCCTCCATCTAACAGTTGTTTTGGGCTCACTATTGTTTTGTTGAAGAATATTGAAGTATACATTCCACCACAACTAAAAGCTTAAAGTAAGATTTTATATTTATTCTCAATATGTCCCCACATGTAGCTAGATTTATTTTATTGGTCAAACATGTGGAAATAAATTGATGGTCGGTAGCACATGGGATTTGAACCCAATACCTTTTGTGTACTCTCAATACTATACTAAAGTATATGTTCCACCTCAACTAAAAAATTTAAGTTGTTAGTAAGGATTTGCATTATTTTATATTTATCCTCAACAAAGAAAGGTATACTCACAGGTGGTATGAATGGAGGATGAAAAGCACAAATCAGTGATAGGAAAACCTGCAACTTGATGGAGTTTCTTTTGAGAAAGGGGCAAAAATATCGAAGCATTCCTTAGCAAGTAAACCATAAGGGCATCCCCAATCTGTTTATGATATATTCACAATGCAGGTAAACTGAAAATGTATACATACTCATGTATCAAGTATAGTTATAGGTGGGTCAAAAGGGAACATAAAAACTTTTTCTGACCCTTCTTAATAAAAGGCACCATGCTGAGGATGTCAAAAGCTCTTCCACATACATAACACTTGAGCAGCTCATCTGTCAAATAATTGCACAAGGTATCTAAAATATTATATGGGGGCAAAGAGAGAACATTGGGAAGAATAGAATAATTGTTTCAATCACAATTGCACAATGGTCAACTACTTATGAACTAGAAAATCCATATCAGTATATGTTATATGTTTATCATGATTGGCTTAAATTGAAAACCAAAACAAAAACTTAAACAAATGATGAAGGAACGAGTTGTAGTCACCTTATCATTGCCACAGCACAATATATTAGATGAAGTGGGTTTCTCAGACATCATTGATTCAATAGTTCTTCTAACAATCTGGAAGTGCATGAAGGTTAAAAACTTGATTAAATCTAACAATTCAAACAAACAAGTCTAAAAATAGTGCTGAAGTAATAGAATCAAACTCAACAGAGTACAATGTGCAGAACGCCTGCTATCCATTATCCACTAGGGTCAAGAAAAAGGTTATCAAGACTCCAGTATAACTATCACTTTTAGGAACAAGTCTCACTAAGAAGTAAAAAGTGAACCCCTAAACCAAATAAAACCAAAAAATTAAGCCATATACTCTAAAATTCAAACCCTAAGTGCACTGCACTTTTGCAAAGTACAATTTTAATACTATAGAGTACACTATTTAATATTTTACCATGCACTTTTTAACAAGATAATGTGCATTTTTGGAAAATCCTGAGAAGTGCACAATATAGTGTTAAAAGTTGCACACTGAAATTGGCGATAATTGCAAAAATGCAACCACATTTTTTTTTAATTTGATCTGATTTTGTTCGATTTTTAGATGTAAGAATATATATATAGAGTAAGGTTTAGGTGCGACAATGTCCTTAGGTGCGGCGGTGCGACGTCACCAATAATTCAACAAATATACACCATCAACGTTAGGAAAATGCACCAGAAAAACACACATAATTAAGTACGCATCACAAAAAAACACACCATTAAGTGTGAGTAAAAACATCATACAGTGTTCAAAAATACACCATTGGGATGGTGAGTTATATGGTGTATTTTTTTGGGTCTGTTGTGTATTTTTTTGATGTTTTTTTGCATTTCATTGTGGTGTGTTTCCCTAACACTGTTGGTGCATGTTGTTAACACTGTTGGTGTAGTTTGAAATTCCGCCGCACCTAAGGACATCGCCGCATTTGAATTTTTTCCTATATAGATATATATATATATATATATAGGGAAGGGTTCAGGTGCGGGGAAGGAATCCTGTGCGGTTGAGCGAAGGACGCACCTTAAACATTAAAATGGCACACCTTAAGTACACAAACCACACACCTTAAGCAAACAAACAAAACACCTTACGAACACAAACCACACACCTTAAGAAGGAAAACAATACATCTTAAGAAGGAAACTCACGCACATTAAGTTTCAACAACTACTCACATTAAGCACAAAACACACGCACCTTAAGCACAAAACTCAAACATCTTACGTTTCAACAACTACTCACATTAAGTAAACAACCCACGCACCTTAAAAATAAAACTCACGCACCTTAAGCACAAAACTCACGCACCTTAAATTTGACCTAGATGCAAAAATTACCAATTTGTCACCGCGTTTTTTTTTTTAAATTTTGGTAATCCTGGACGTTGATTTAAGCAAAATCAATGGCTCTCCTCTCACCACACAACTGCACATGGACGTACCAACCACATTTGAACTCAATTCTCTCTCTCTCTCTCTCTCTCTATATATATATATATATATATATATACCCCTCATCCCGTGAGAACCTGTAAACTTATACATAAATACAAACAAACTTATATGAGTCAACGGTTCCCTATGGTGACAGAGAGCAATGCGAGAGAGGGAAGAGATTCCCTTTTTTATTTTATTCAAATACCAACTTACTTAGACAATGCAATACTTCTCCATATATATATATATATATATATATATATATATATATAGGAGTTACAGCTTAAGATATAAGGAAACAATATTCTAAAATATGTTAAACGAAATATAAAAGCAGCGGTTAATAAAAGGAAACAACATAACTAATGTGGTAAAAGAAACAATATAACTAAATTGGTTCTGAAGCAGCGTGAACATGTTGGGTAGCATCAATGGCTAGAACTCTGCGTCGTTTCCTAGTGTACCTTCGTCCAAAGAATGCATCACAAGCATCCACAGAAATGCACACAATCTATCCCTGGAATACTTTGTGCGCATTTATGTAGACACTTATGCGCATTTATGTTACTTTGTAGTTCTTACGAAAGATGGGGTTCTCATTTGATTCTCTCTCTCTCTATTTTATATATATATATATATATATATATATATATATATATATATATATATATATATATATGCGGATGACTCCTCCCGTGCGAATATGCAAACATATTGCAACCGTTGGATGAGATCAAATCAACAACAGGAAATCAATAAAAAGGGAAGAAAAAAAACAATGTGACACTATGGTAATTTCAATGATATGTTAGTGCATTTAGATATGCTTGGTAGGTGCAGTGAGTACAATGCACCGTCAAGCATTCATGTGTGCACCATAAACCAACACTTTAGTGCACCACCGACCAGCCCTTAGTGCACAAAGACCACTACTAAGTGCACCACAAACCAACACTTAAGTACACCATGAATCATCACTTAGTACACCATAAAAATATAATTGGTGCAGAAAATTACTATAATGTCAATGCATTTTTTCTTTTTTTATTGATATATAGCCATTTATATGAACTCATTCAACAGTCAAAATCTATTCGCATGTCCGCACAGGAAGAGGCTGATGCACCTGATCCAAATTATATATATAGAATATATATTTTAATAGAAATAAATAATACATTATTTATATATAAAAAATTACCAAAATTTGGGATAGCTTAGTTGATAATTAGTATATTTTTGTTATGAAAAGGTCCAAGGATCATAATAACAACAAAAGATGTGCACTGAAATGTGATTATGTGACTCACTAAAATAAGGACTTTCCAGGCAAAATCAAGCAAGAGAAGCAGACTTTCTATAACATCTTCAACAACAAACACATTTATGAATTTACCCACCCAAATTATGTGCATTACAAAAACAAACAAACCAGGTACCTGAATCTGGGACCACCGGTGGTGAGGATCGAAGACGGATAACGAAGGCGCATTTTCATCGATGACGACAAAGCAATGATTGAGGAGCTTCCGGTAATCGGAGGTATCGGTAGGTCTAAGAAGAAACTCCATTGCGTTAGCGCCACTGCAACCAAGGCAGCGCCGGCCGTTGCAGAGACAATGCGCCGCCGTAGAAGGCGGAGGAGGAATGAGGGAAATGATCGTGTCGGAAAGTGTACGTGCGCGGTTCCGGAATACCCTCCAAAGAACTTCCGGAACTCTTCTTTTCTTATTCGCCATGCTGTTGGGTATTGGCGATTGGCGGGCAAACTGAGCTATCACTATCAGCTATGCGGGCAAGGAGAAGAGGGCAAAATTTTGGAAACTGTCGAGTCGCTTCAGTTTTCCCTCCCATTCCGATTTCCAAAACAGTCATTATACCATTATTTATGAGTTTTCCTAGACTATAGTGCTTTTTCACATTTGGTCTCCGTCTTTTAATTTGGACGAATTAAACCCTTGACTATCATAATTTTTTCATCATTGGTCCTTCCGTCAACTCACTGTTATTTTGCCGTTAAATTAAGGGGTAAAATGGTCCTCTTCCATATACTAAGTGTCTTCTTCCTCACTGTTGGTCTAAATCTATTGCACTGCACTCGCCTTTACCAAAAGCTCCTTCCAAAGGCAAAATGGCACCAGAAATGTACATCTTCTTCGTCTCTATGACCTCAACAAGCTGCAGTGTTCCATCTTCGTCATAGAAGGAGAACTCTGTCAGTCTTCTATTTACTGGAATTTATTTCAGCCTCTTCTTGTCAACGCCACTGCATCTTGTTCAGTCTGGACTAACCGAGGCCTTCCAGTCCCGACTATCTCGGTCTCATATAAGTCCAGCTCAGAGGTATATTCTGTATTCACAGCTCTCCAACCTTGTATTCCTCCTCCACCTCAACAACGCATAAGATTTTCGTGCTTCTAACATTGACGACAGTGAAGTTTTTGACGAATCACTTATTGATCTACTCATCAAAGAAACAGGTAACTAAGTAAATGCAGTTTTAGTGTGTCCAATTCAGGAAATTAAAGATCTTGTCTTTATGCACCTTAAACATAAATGTTTTAAACACGAATGGATAATGGGAAAAAAATAATGAAAATTGATTACCAGCATTTTTGACAGATGATGCGATTCTTAGGTCATGCATGCTTTCCTGTACTAATTTTGAGTTTGTTGGATAGTATTTCAAATACTTCACCAAAACATTTGAGTTCTTGATAGACAGCCTCAAAATTATTCCTAATTTTCCAGCATCATCATCAATTGTTTCTCGGTCGTTAATCTCTGACTTTCTTTCTCTCACTCAAAATTTTCAAAAATGGCGACAGGACTGAACACGATAGGGCCACTAGCAGTGACCTCTTGCAGTATGCTTGAAGAGGGGAAGGATTTGAGGAAGAAGACACTCAGTATATGGAAGGATCATTTTACCCTTTAATTTAACAGTAAAATAACAGTGAGTTGACGGAAGGACCAATGATGGAAAGATTATGATAGTCAAGGGTTTAATTAGTCTAAATTAAAATACGAGGACCAATCGCCAATACCCAACAGCATGGCGAATAAGAAAAGAAGAGTTCCGGAAGTTCTTTGGAGAGTATTCCGGAACCGCGCACGTACACTTTCCGACACTGTTTGTTTTTACAGTATTATAGACGATGGACCGTGAAATTACATATATATCGATTAAAAGTTTATTTTTACAGTATTATAGATTATAGATGAGTAAATACCCAAAATGGTCCCTCGATTATAGTTAAATTCACAAATTGGTCATCGACTTTCAATTTCAACCAATTAAGTCCTTAACTTTGTAATTTTAACACAATTTGGTCCTCTGTCTATTTGATCATTTGTTGACTGTGATTTTTGAGGATATATATGTAATTTCACGGTCCATCGTTGATTTTTTAAGGTTCCGGTTGCATTTCAGACCGCACTGTTACATTCGAATCCACTGCCGAAAGCAATCTACCAAATCCGGACGCCTTTCTTCATCCTCCCTTTGGATTCAATGTAGTTGAGTTCGTACAAGAGCGAAGAAGACGACGTGTTTTCGAACCGGTGCAACGTCATCCTGGAGGCCTTCACGTGCTCCGACGAGAGCTGAAGGTTCTTCTGGAGATCGTCGATCACGGTCAACAAACGATCAAATAGATGGAGGACCAAATCGTGTCAAAATTGTAAAGTTAAGGACTTAATTGGTTGAAATTGAAAGTCGATGACCAATTTGTGAATTTAGCTATAGTCAAGGGACCATTTTGGGTATTTACTCATTATAGATTTATCATACAGAGTATTTTATAAGGTTTGTATTATTTAAAAATGAATATATAATGTTAACAATTGGTTCGCTAATTTGAGAAAAAAATTCAAAGACGCTATAACCTAAACAAAGTATTTGGTCATTAACTATTAATATTTTTAAATTAGATGCATTACTATATAATTTGTATCACATTTGGTCATTGACTATTAATATTTTCAAATTAGATACACGACTTTGTAAGTTGTATTATTTTTAATCCTATCGTCTAATTTTTCGGTCAACTATTGTCAGAATTTCAACGAGAAAAATATTTTTTTTTTGGCAATAGTTGGCCGAAAATATCTTTTAATTAGAAACAAGTTGTTGAAATTATGAGTTCTGACAATAATTAGCTGAAAACTTTGCTCAAAAATTGGATGGTATGACCAAATGTGATACAAATTAAATAGTCATGCACCTAATTCAAAAATATTAATAGTCAAGAATCAAATGCGTACAAATTACATAGTCATATATCTAATTTGAAAATATTAATAGCCAATAACAAAATTTGGTACATGTACAATAGTCAAGTGACCAAAAGTGATTTTTTTTTTTTTTTTTAAATACAAGTGTCAAAATACTTGGTTGTATAATTTTTTCTAATTTAATATGATGTTTAGTTCTCATCAATAACCGACGTGCTGAGAATTGATATCTTATTAAATTAAAAAATACATGTATAGGGGTTGTATATGATGTCAGTTCACATAGAACCGATGTTATAGGAATAAGGGTCAAATAGGCCACTCAACTGCACACCAAAGTGCAATTAGGCCATTGAACTCAAAAAGAATGCAATTAAGCCATTGAACAACACAAAAATATGCAATTTAGCCCAAAATGACTTGTTTACCTAGAGTAGTAAGTTACCAATTTCAAAATTAATTTTTTAAAATAATTTTTCATAAATAAATAATTAAATTATTATTAAAAAAAAAAAAAAAAAAAAAAAAAAAAAACAGAAACTTCCGGCCGGCTACGTCTCCGTGGCCGGAGACGGACCTCCGTCTCCAGCCATGGAGACAAAGCCGGCCGGAGACGATTCGTCTCTGGCCGGCAGTTTCTGTTTTTTTTTTTTTTTTTAAATTTATTTATTTATTAATATTTTAATTATTTATTTATTAAAAGTTATTTTAAAAAATTAATTTTGAAATTGGTAACTTGCTACTCTAGGTAAACAAGTCATTTTGGGCTAAATTGCATGTTTTTGTGTTGTTCAATGGCTTAATTGCATTCTTTTTGAGTTCAATGGCCTAATTGTACTTTGGTGTGCAGTTGAGTGGCCTATTTGACCCTTATTCCGATGTTATATACTAATTTTTTTTAAATATAAACATCGTATTAAATATACATACATATATATATATATATATATATATATATATATATATATATATATATATATATATATATATATATAAACAGTATATGATATCGGTTTGCATAGAACCACGTCGTATTATATATGTAGAAGATTGCGCATTTATGTACAAGTTCACAGTTCTCACTTGAACACAAGTATGTGTATAAGACGGGTCAGTTCTCAACGAGAAAGCATGTGTATACCTTGCAATTGTGTATTTTGGGTAATGCTTGCAATTGTGTATGGCTTGCATTCCAGAGGCTTCCCATTCTATTCTACTATATAAGAAAGCTAAGCTTGTTTGCAAAAAAAAAAAAAAAAAAAAAAAAAAAAAAGCTAAGCTATCAAGTTGTGGGATAAAGAATGTGTCAGAAAATGACATTTCTATTCATAGCAGTACATAACACTCAAAACCCACAACCAGTGTTTGGTGGATTGTTTTCAGAATCCATATACAATGCATAATAACCTTACTACTAATAGGAATCCCATCATCAAAACTAGTTGCATACTTAACAGATGCATTGGAAAGACACTAGCCTAAACAAACTATCTAGAGCACATCAACCAACCCTGCAACACACTGTCATACTATGTTCTTCTTGCTAAATCGATCCCCAAGCAAACATAAACACACCGCATATCACATGCAAACCGGCATGTAACAGTGCCAGTGCCCCGACGGCATTGGATGTGTAGCCTGGACAGCAACTACTAGTTGCATCCGAGATTCGGCTCAGTAGTAGCTCAAATGGAAGCCCACTAAGAAAACTGATTACCCCCTTGTCTTGGCCCTCTTCATCCCAAGGCTGTTGTTGAAGGGGGAAACAGAACCAGACATTTGAGAACCTTCTTCTCTCAGTGTACCATTCAGCATTGCCAATTCCCGTAGCTGGTGCTTTTTATAAAAATCTTGAGATTCATCCTGCATCAATAATAAATATCTCTTAAAGAGCATGTCATACTAGGAAGGAAAAGGAAATTGCTTTTTTGCTTCATCAAAGAGGACAGGACAGGTTAGAATTACCACAGGCTTGAGTAGATCTTCAAGTATCTCACGTGCTTGCATTAACCGAGCATCAATTATCTCCACTGGCAGTTCAGCCTCCACAACTACATGCAAGGGTTCATTCAAGTGTTCATACCCAGGTTTACCTCTCATCACCTCTTCCTACAAATAACAACAGTAAATTATTATGTTGTTGCTATTACATTTGCAGGCTGTGACATCAAATAACAAGAAGCTGTTTAGTTACATCAATTGAAAATAAGATTCTTATCAATCTTATTTCTTCCTTTCACTACATAATGACATGGTATCATAGCATATAACTGATACAAATGCTAAAAGACACACAGAACGATATCCATTGCAAACGGATGTCAGCATATAATATTGAAAAAAAAAAAAAAGTTGTTCTCATTTTAACTAAAAATGACAGCACCATTGTAAAATATAGGGATCAGAACATTGAGGCAAGCCTGGAGTCGTCATGCCACCATCGGACTACATATGCACTAACACGTGCTGGCTTTCTCATGTTTCAATGTCACACACCAACTTTTCTGATAGAGATTCGTGTCACCTGTCTCTTGAATAGAAAAGTATGGCAGTTGTTTCTACACTCTAAATTGATTGAGAACATGTTAATTGTTAAAGGTTGATAAATAAAACCTTAGAGAATGGAATTCTTAGTAAAAGTGAATGTGAGTGGCTTGAGAAAGGAGAAAATTCTTATTGAGACTTGCCCAACTACAGGAAAGGCAGTATAGTTTTGATGGGATGATGACAAAATACTATTCTCCTGGATTGTGAATTGCATGATTCTTGATGCAACATTATGAGACTGTAAATTAGCTACGGGATTTGTTGCATAAGTGGTTCTCAAGCTCTAGTAATTTGAATATGCACACATAATCTGTCACGGGAAATTCATTGTCCTAACCAAAAGAGATAAGGTGTTTATGGATTATTTTTATGATTTCAAACATTAAGCAAAGATTTTTTTTGCAGCTATACTTATCTCTAGCAATGTGCAGAAAATGAAGGCTCAACATGAGGCATGCCTATCATTTAGTTAGATCTCTAGTTTAAACAAAAGGTATGATGCGAATTGATCTCAGTTATTGGACAGTAAAGATTTAATCCTCGTGAAATGTGTTCTCAAGATTTCTGAAAGGCCTCAAAGATAGGACTCCCTATCAAGCAGATAATATTGATAGAATTGGTTTTTTTTTTCCTTTCTCACAGGGTAACAGTGAAAGCAGATATCATGGAGGCAGAAATAATAATCACAGTGGTTTCAGAGAAGGGCACAGCACAGGTGGCTGTGAGGGTTAACAACATTATAAATTATAATTGTGAAGATCAAGGCTATACCCAAAACCAGTGGGTCAAGCCTCCTAGGCAACAATTCTAGCAACAGCAGCAACCCCAAGGGAACTATGTTACAGACTTAAGGTATTGGTTTACTTCATATGAACCCATGTAAAACTCCTATAGATCCAGTCTTCAAACTTGTAACAAGTGAGAGGAAGATGTTGGAGATCCAATATATATATATATATATATATATATATATATATATATATATATATATATATATATATATATATATATATAGAGAGAGAGAGAGAGAGAGAGAGAGAGAGAGACTTCTGCTCAAATGCGGCCGCGCCTTCTGGTGCGGTCAGTGTGGCCGCTTGAAAAAGGCACCAACAGTGTTAGGAAAATGCACAAGAATGAAATGCACAAAGACACCAAAAAACGCACAACACACCCAAAAAAAAAAAATGCACCATAACTCCCCACCCCTAATTGTGCATTTCCGAACACTGTGTAGTGCTTTTATGCATACCTAATGGTGCGTTTTTGGTGATGCGTACCTAATTTGTGCATTTTTTTGTTGTGCATTTCCTAACATTGTTGGTGCATATTTGCATAACTATTGCCACTTATCTCCGCCCCCCTCAAGTCACCACCACCACAACCGCCGCTACCTCCAATACAATTACTGATTCCTCCCGCCCACCACTACCTACTACCACCTACCTATGTACCTCACTCCCAACTAATTGCAACCAACATGACCCTACCTACCTTCCCACCTCTACTACTGCATTCATTAACATCATAGCTTATTTTACCTACCACTATCTATCTATGCCCACCCCAAAATACCTACTCCACCGTAATCTACTTACCCCACCACCACTCAAAATCATTTTTACTTATCAATACCATTTGTATTTTATACAAAGAAAACAATTGGGTTTTAAATAATTCCATATTTTATAAATTGTAAACTAGTTGAATTTGAACATGTTTTCTACTTTTCCAACGGAAAAAGGAAAACTTGGAAAATTTTGGAATACTGGAGAAAACATTTTCCATTAGAGATTTTATGCTTAAAGGCGAATTTCTATACTACCTTTGTAGGGTCCTTGATGCTTCCACGCCCTCTTATCAAAACGCGGCAGTCAGTACTTACTTCCACTCGCTTAAGGGAGTTTCCTCTGGGACCAAGGAGACGTCCAACAAAATTGTACTGAAATAGAGTGTCAAAATAATTGCCAGTATTATACACTGTAAGCATACATAAAAGGAGGCATATAAATGAACAGATGTACATTGGGATATTGCTCCACAGGTATATCAATTCTGATGGTCTGCTTAACTATAAGTCCCGATGAGCTACTTTGACTACCAAGCCAGCTTTGTGCAGAAGAAGACTGCACCAAACCTGACATCTGCACATAATAAATTGTAATATTGTTAGGGGGATAAATGAGAACATATACGACAAACCCTTTTTGATAAAAGGCATTTCTGTAGAGGATCTGTGCTCAACCGCTACTGATTTGAACAAAGCTGAAAAGTTTCTGGATACCATATTATGAAGGTACTCCACAATCCAAAAAATACAAGTTTAATGACAAGCCAGCATCCAATAACATACAGTAAAAAATGGATAATTAGATATGCATCCTAACAAGAAGAATACTCAATAACATGTTGATGCCCACCTGACCTTGAAAGTGCCCATCTACACTGAACCAACTTGCAAAATTTAACATTCTGTTCACATTGAAATCATTCTTAATAGTTAACACATCAGCATGAATATAGGTCACAAATTTCGCAAGGGCGAAGGCATCATGGTCCTTTTAGAAAAAAAGGAGATAAAACCTCTTTGGTCTAGTATCTAAATTATTAGACTTGAAATGGAGGAGAGAGAAACTCCCCTACTGTCTAATACTCTAGCCTATAACAACGTAAGATGAAGCTAGAAGTCAGGTTAATTCATAAAAAGAGACCTAGTGAGTTCAAGAAAAGTTCTAAATTCACATGCTCAGCTATATCCAGAAAGCAGCCCCGAAGTTGTTAGCTTCAAAACTAAGTGTCATGACAGAAGCGGAACTTTTAAGTTAAGCACCCAAATAAGTAATCAAGTCAGCATTTAGAGTAGGAAAACTATGTCAGAAAAGCTTCTGTAAAGTAGAAATTAGATTAAAGAAGTTATGTTAATGGTTAGTATCCATACTTCGGATTGAAATGGTGATGACCATCTGTCCTTGTTAGCACCTCCATTTGAAAACAGTCCTCCTGAAGCCAAGGGGCTACCATGTTCAAGCCCACTTTGATCTAAAACAGATGCATTCCCCAAGAGTGTAGTTACACGAAGTATTTCTGCTTAAAAAAAGGTCAATTTTCAAGAAATAAGATGCACCCGTTAGCATTAGTTAACAATTAGTTAGCATCCACCACAATATGGACAGACAACACTATCTGTATATTCGTTAGTTATCAAAAATCTACATGACATACTTGGTCTTTCAGAAGAATACACCTGAACAGACAATAAATTTAGACATACTTAGCTAGAATGACAAAATACTTCCATCTTATTATATTCTATTCTGCATGATAGCTCTAAAACTTTTAAATGATCAACTGAAACTTATTCCTTTAAATTAATCAGCACGAATTAAGCTGGAGAAAATTCTTGTAATACTTAATTGACAAAATGAGTGAAATATGTTAGTATTATTGGTTTTTGCTTACACCTGTTTCTAATTCTTATACCCATGAAAGTTGCAATTTATTTTTATCCGTGATCTTTTCAATATTGTCACTCATCCTACAAACTCCACTCGGGACACTATCCGAGGAATGAGAATATATTTTACAAGGGCAGACCCATAAAAAATTTTATTAGAGGGGGCCAAAGCTTTTTATTTCAATCAAGTTTATAATTATAATTATCATTGAAAAACAGTATACAATTATATATAATTAGTAATTACATAGTTGTTGGTACAATAATAAAAAGAAAACCTCTAGATAGACAACCAAAAAACAATTATACAGACTATCATAAAATATCACACCTATCGTTGTACTCCATTCGTCCCACTTTACATGTCTTACACGTATAACGAGAGATGACAATTTGTTTACAATTTAATTATAATATTTAATTTAATTTAATATTAGTATATACAATATATATATTTAAAAATTACATTAACAGTTTTTTTAAACACAACTAGCTAAATTTAAAAGTGATAAAAAATTATTTAAGAATATAAGTGATGAAAAAAAGTTGATTGACCAACATATGTTAAATAGGACTCATAAAATGGGAAAGAGAGAGTAATTGTAATTGGTGAGGTCCATCAACAATTTAATTCCTTACAAAAACACAATATTACTAAATTGAATACACTAATACAACTATTAAATTATACTAAATCATTTCAATTCTAATCTAAAAACATAATAAGTGTGAATGAATGTTATACCCTTTATTTATGTCCAATTTTTCCATTAAGTTTTTTGATACATTATGCTATAAAAGTTGTACCATACAATATTTTGGACAAATATACCCCTACCGTTATAACTTCCGTTATCTTTTCCACTATTGTTACTATGCACATGCATCTACCGTATATTCTCTTATCTTCTTCTTCTTCAATAATAATAATAATAATAATAATAATATACAAATTATATATTGGAGTTATATGTTAGTTATTTCCTAAAATTAAATATAAAAATTAAATTTATAACATTATTATTATTATTATTATTATTATTATTATTATTATTATTATTATTATTATTTAAACATCTAAAATTTAAATAAATTTAAAATTTTAATATAAATTTTAATTTTGGGCACCTATGTTTTGCGCATCGCGCATAAAAAATACTAGTTTAATGTAAAATGTTAAATATCTAATATTCCTAAATTAAATACGATAATACACCTATATTTAAGGCTTTATGCATTTGAATTTTTATTTGTCAAATTAATTGTAATTACTTGGGGAGGATGAGGGTGGCAGAGCTATTATTATATTATATTGTATTAGTAATAATTTAGTTTTAATAAAATTTGTGTGTGGGGAGGATGAGGGTAGCAGAGCTATATATTTACACATATTATATGTATAATAACTACATGTACACACATTTATACATATTAGTGTGAAAAAAAATTGACTCCACATCATATATTTATATGGTGCAGGTAATAACTGAGACTTGATTCTGCATGCCATAATCTATAAAGCTCAACCAGTCAATGTACGGGTAATTCACTATCTACAAAAGTCTCACTATCTGTTTGCTGCTAAATTTACCCCTTCCCTGGTTATCTTCATTGATATAAATCCAGAAGGAACCAAAGGAAACTAAAGTGTCAAATCCTATTTGGAGCTTGGTTATAAAATCCTGCCTAATCATCTATCCATCACAAAACACCTCGTAAAAATATGGAGTTAACGTTCCTCTGCTATAGGTTAGTGGCAACTTAGACTGAAAAATTCCTCACTGAACCTGAAGAATGGGAATAGGAAAGCTCCGCCAAAAGGATATTTGCACTTCTATTCTCCTCACCACAAGAAATTAGCATCAATTGTAGTTCTGCTATGGCCAACATTGCCAAGTGCAATTAGCGGCATAATAGCATCCAAAACAACATAGTCAGCTGGACTATACGTGGCAAAGAAATGAAGTACAAGCACAACTCAAGGGTCCAAGTTAGATGACTTAAACCAAAAGCTAAATGTCCATTAAGAGAAAGGTGTCATAAGCTAAAAACCTTCTTGGTTTAGTTCACAACTAGCATAGGCTTGAAATATATAGTTTAACATCTTTAAGGAATCTGATGTCTAAGGCGGCAGTGGAGAACACCCACCTTATCTTTGCTTTTATTTGACTGCCTAAGGATTTTTTACTTTTGATGGCTTGGAAAAGAATACAGACTACAGTGGGGGAGTTCCTATTTCAACAAGCTGCTAAGAGATGTGAAATATTATTCAAAGTTCTCCAACTCACCCTGGTTTAGCAACCGAAAGCAATTAGGAAGCACAGGCATAAAAGGACTGAGTTTGCTACGTTCAGCAAGCAACTCCGCAAGATACCTGTCAACAAGCATTGAGGCAAGTCAGTGCCAGTCATTACATGCATAAGCAGTGCATATTTATAAGGAGTAGTTTATGACTATTATCACGTGAAACAAACACCCCCAGATGTTTGAAATAATTTTTTTCGGTTACAGACTTACAGTCCAGGGAGGATTATCTGACTTATCTGTTCTCAAACTCACAAGACATGCACAATTTCACATACTTATCTTAGATCTATCTTTTTAGGAAGAACAAGCAACATATACATATTCTATTGCTTTCGGCTGTACTCAGTTGTTGATCAGCACAGATCATACGATCTCACACTTGAGATTCAATTAGTAAGACAAAAGCCAATGATCTGGAACAGAATTTTGATGCAAATTTGCAAGAGTAAGAATTCAAAGACAAATTAAAAATTAAGAAGCACAAATAAGAAAAGATTTATAATTAATTTTACTTTTAAACAATTTCTTAGTTGCATGCAAGACAAAAGTCCTTTCCCTGTTTAATGATAAAGGAAAAAAAATTGGTTAACCAAGAACTATTGCGCAGCCACTAACTTTAAAACCTAAGAGCAGTAATTGAGGCAAAATTGATATCCTACTGAATGAATTCAACACCGTTGTATAGTAGTTTAGAATAGAGATAGACATTTTCTCCCTTCTTCAGCAAAGAGGAGCTGTATGAACATGTAGGAAGAGAAGTCCATGAAATTATGTTAATTGGAACAAAACCACAGCATCAAGTAATTGAAGTAAGGAAACATTAGCCACATATCAATGCATAAGACGACACTAGAACTAAGCAAACTAGATCTTGTAATACAGTAAAGAATTCCAAATCAAAACCACTCAAACCAACCAACAAAGCTGAGATCCAACGCATTGAAAATCTGAATTACACGGAAGAAATGAAAACGATCCAAATTCAACGATTAAGTCGTGCAAGATCTGCAACTACGTGTGTTTGTGGATACAATAGATATATGTAGGGTTGAGAAAGAGGGAGCATACTTCTCTTGCTCGACGAGGGCAGAGGAAGCGGAGCGGAGAGCGCCGATGTGAGGAGAGTGAGGGGCGGAGGGTGAAGGCGAGTACGCCATAAACCTGCTAGAAGCCATCTGTTTGGAGGTGAATATTGGAAAGAGCAGATTCACCTTGCACCGCCGCTAACAGCCTCCGTTCTGGCGACAGAGATGATTGTGATCGATAGCCGGAGACTATAATCGCGTCGGTGGAGAAAATTGTTCAACAGACCCACCACCACTCGTACATACGTTTCTACTCAAAACTGTCGAGGTTATGACGACAGCTAACCATATTCACTACTGACTTTACAGTTGTACTACAGCTGCCACCGTACTTTAAAGTGGTAAATCGGGATGATAAGGTATCCACGATGTTCTGTGATATTGGCAATTTAGCATTTTTCGGTTAGCGGATTAGAATGAAATGTTTAGTGAAATTAACTATTTACTGTTTTCAGTAATAACGGGTAAAAAGCTTGAAATGATATAATATATATTTTTTAATAATATTTATTAATTATTATCTAATAATTATATTTAGTAAATACGTTGTAATAAATATAAATATATAATATTAAGTTTGAATCTCTTAAAATATTTGTCACAGCTCATGTCCTAAAAATAAGTAAAAGAGATATATCATAATATATGCTTCAACTAACTTAAACCTCCAAATACTTACTAATAATAATAATAATTAATAAATAAATAAATAAATAATATAATATAATATAATTTGCTTGTTCACATAATGAACAAATTATATTGTAAATCATGATCTACATTACAATGTGAATTTAATAAGTTTCAATTTGTGCAAATCAATGTGAACATGTTGGCTCATTTATGAGGGCCCGCTTTAAGTATTATTGTAGGGGAGATGAGAGAATAGTATTTTGATTGCATTCCTGTTTTTCTTTCATCTTGTGTACCTATGACGTTTGTTGAGTAATATATTTTTGTTCTTTGATATTCATGTATATATATATATATATATATATATATATATACTACCAACAAACTTAGTCCATATGGAGTGTGTTCAAGATCCTCTCATAGCAGAAGCAACGGCTTGTAAGTCTAAGGATGCCCTATCGTGGGTAATTAAAGTCTATAGGTGTAGGAGTTGTCTAGGTTGAGTATGATTGTCTTCATTTAGTCCATGCCCTTTGCTCGGGGAAGTCATACCGCTTGTATGTTGATTATATTGTTTATGCTTACAAAATTGTTTGTAGTTCCTTTTTAGTCATGCATTTTCCGTTATATTTTTCTCGTTTGGTGAATCAACCTGCTCACACCCTGGTGGAGTTGATGTTGGTAGTAGTGGTGGTGTGGTAGTGGTGGTGACGACGACAACATCGGTGGTGGTAATAATAATAATAATTTGGAAATTAACTTAAAAATGAATATAGTGAAGAGAGATGAAAATTGTTACTCGTACTTCGTAAAACTGTTATCGTTTTCTAATTTTTCATTTTCATTTGATTTTTTATTATCTGTTTTATGTTTTGAGAACTTGTTTACTAACACTCATTTTTTTCAAATATACTTGTTTTTTGGACTAACGTTATAAAATTAACACAAATTTAATTTTGCGTGATTTTAAAACTTTATACTTAAAGATATGTTTGGTTTAAATTGAATAAATATAATTTTTACTTTTAAGTCTAATATATGTAAAAGTTTTGCATTTGATATCCGATCTGAATTCATATTTGTATATAACATGACTAAAAGCATATCAGAACCAATAACCTATTAAGTTCACCAAAAATTTAGTTTAGATAATATTAATATTTTTTGAGCTAATATTTAAAATATCTTTGTATATATTCACTAGTATTGTCCCGTGCGATGCACGGTTAAGTTTTGTCGATTTGTTTGTAGTATTTCAATTGACTAAAATGAATTTATTTATTGGACGCCAATTATGTTAAAGGTATTTGTCTAACCAAAAAATATGAATAACAATTTGATGTTTAACAAAAACTAATTGTCATCATTCTATATATAATAATATGTAAAGAACACAATATTACACATTATTAAACACTTCATGGTAAACAACGTTAGTAGTTGACGTACTAACACTGTTCGAGTCACTACAAATTAAAATTTTCAATCCGTCTGGATTGCTCACTCTAGAAGCAGCAACGTACAATTGACCATGAACAAAAACTGGTTTCTTTAAAAGTAAGCCAACGTGTGATAGTGTTTGTCCTTGACTCTTGTTAATTGTCATTGCATAGGACAACATTAAAGGAAACTGTCTTCTTTGGAATTTAAAAGGTAATCTCGGATCTGATGGTGTCATAGTCATTCGGGGGACCAACACTTTGGTTCCTGCGTTGTTTCCAGACATAATTTTTCCTTCAATCACATGATCTGCTAACTTCGTAATAACCAACCTAGTTCCATTGCATAATCCAAGTGAATGATCTATATTCCTCAACAACATAACAGGTGACCCGACCTTTAAATTCAAACAATGGTTTGGAATGCCGGATGCCCTTATACCATTTAGAAACTCGGGAGTGTGCACATCATCAAGTAAGGTGCCATTTGAGTCTGATTTGCACACACTATCACAACTGTAGTAAGTCCTACTATCCCCAGTATGCAGATCACTCATGTATTCATTAATGGAGTTAACGACGTCAAGGGTTGGGGCTAATATAGCTCGACCTTCAAGAAGACTGGAATCTGAATTCCCAGACATGAACATAGGGAACGTACTTGCAACTATGTTGGTAATTGGGTCTCCATTAGATGGTAATAACAGTTCGTTTGGTATCTCTACCTCTGCATGACCATCATTTTGACCACCCATAGTTCCATCACCTATACTCGCAATCCAATCTGCAAAGTCCTCTAGTTTTTTCATGTCAATCCCCGGCATGCTTCGATTTAATCGAAGGTTTTTTGTCAATCTCAAAACCTTACAATTGTTCCATAGATACGATGAGTTGATTGTTGCAGAAATAATATCCTGTCTAGATCCTTTTGGTACAACTGGTAATATTTGCCGGAAATCGCCACCAAACACCACCGTCTTTCCACCAAATGTTTGGTCAGCACTGTTGGGATTTTGAAATTGAAGCAAATCTCTCATTGTCCTATCCAACGCTTCAAAGCAGTGTTTGTGCATCATAGGAGCTTCGTCCCATATAATCAATTTACTCCGGACGATCAATTCGGCTAGATGGCTACCTTGTTTAATATTACATGTGGAGTCTTCGTTTATTGCAATAGGGATGGAAAACCTTGAATGAGCGGTTCGACCACTAGGAAGTAACAACGACGCAATACCACTGGATGCCACATTGATAACAATATCACCGCTAGCTCGCAATGTTGATGACAACGCCTTCCATAGATAAGTTTTCCCAGTACCACCGTAACCATAAACGAAGAATAGTCCACCACTGCCATTAGACAAATTTTGGATGATTGTGTTGTAGATCTCTTTCTGCTCATCAGTCAATCTTGATGCCAATTCTTCGCTCTCTGCTTGGAGTGCTTCGCGATCATAGTTCAACTCCTCAAATAACAAAATGTTATCAACCAATCTTGAATCATCCATGTTAGGTGTTGGCATCGGAGGAAAGTTTTTAAGAGACTTATTGTGTATTATCAACAATTTTTCTAGCTCAATTAAACCGAAGTTTTTTTTCTCACACTCTTTTAGTATCAAATCTGTAAAGTAAAAAAAAAAAAGTAATAGTATTGTTAGTTATTAGTTATTAGTTATTATATTTTATATATATATATATATATATATATATATATATATATATATATATATATATATATATATATATATATATATGTGTATGTAATATGTAATTAAATATATTATGTAATTAAATATATGTTTTATGCACGATTCTAAAACCTGGTTTATTTAGTTGTTTTCTATGCATGAATTCAGCATCTTCGACTAAATGATGCCACACCTCATCCCATACATGTTCAGGTCTGGATAATGAGTTTGAAAGCAATAGTATAACAAACAACTTTCTCATCGCATGTCCAGATGACCAATAACTTGCTTCCTCAATTGCATCAATATACTCTTTGTCGTCATCTAATAATCCACGTGCGTAACATGCATCCCTGAATGTCATGTATTCTACCCCATTAAATGTCATAATGTCTTTAAAACTGGTTGGTCCACGAACAATATTCAAAAGACATCTAAGATAGTATATTTCACCACTACCAGGAGGTACGAAGAAGATGCGACCAATTGAAAACCCCTTCTTTCTTGGATGCCACTCTCGAATATCTCTCTTCCAAACAAATTTATTGGGCATTTCAATGTATGTTAATGAGCGTGCATCTTCATATTTCTTATTGGCTTCGAACCATCCTTTGAACATACTTTGTCCCACTGTTTCACGACCTAAAACATTATCAATATTTTCATCATCAGCGAATACAATGGACTGACAATCTGGAAGGTGGAAGCTTAATCTTTCAACAGCCGGTGTCCGATATTGGACCTCAAAACTGAATAGTCGCCAGGCTGCCTCGCATGCTGAAACGTACCTACAATCATAGTACATATTAATCTCATCCACCACCTCCTCACCGTTTTCATCGATGGTACTATTGTAGAATTCTGCTGTGACACGGTCATTACCCTTGTTGACATACTTGAAGAGGTACTTGATTGATCTCGACTGGTTGCACCATTCTACGTTGATATGAGCCTTGTACCTCAAAAGCAAATATCTATTATGCGGGACAACATATCGGCTGTCTAGTTCTATACCATTCTTCTTGACTGTTCTACCATTGTCCCGACGCATATAAACTGGATACCCATCCTGGTCAAACTTAGACTCTGCTACAAATCGTTTGGGGAAGTGCTTTGAACACTTTCCATTAACCATGCACGGAGAATTCCTTCTGGCGATTCCACATGGTCCATGAACCATGAATTCCTCGACTGCATTGTAGTATTTCATTTGCATTGTCTTGTCTGGTACCTCAGCCTTTATGATTGAATCCATGTACGTCGGACTCGTCATGTCAACTTTGTTCTTGAGGAATATTAGAATATGTGCATGCGGTAGTCCACGTTTTTGGAATTCAATGGTGTAAATAACTACATTTACATAATAATCTTCCATTAGTTTAACATGATATACGTAGACAAAAGTAAAATAAAAAAAAAAAACATAGCGTTTAATGGAATTCAATATATACCTGATTTCACAGGACCAAAAAGCTCACCATTCTTTACTTCCTTTATTAGACAATCCAATTTCATCTTGAATATACGGCATAAAATATCCGGACGATCTTCTGCATTGAGATTTCG